AATGCCTCCCCGGAGCCGCCGCTACCCTACTGTAATCAATTAACCTTGACCCCCTGCGCAGTCCTAAACCATAAAAGATAGATTATGCACAGTAAATTTTTTACAGAGGCCTAACTCAGTAAAGTCAATTGGACCACTCTTAATGATGACGTAATTATTTTTTAAATTGGAGCAATTTTGATTGTTCGGAAATTTGTTGCCCAGGATCCGCTATTCTCTTATAGAAACGTTGACTCTTGCGTAGTTCTAAATCGTAAAAGATAGACATGCGCAGTAAATTTTTACAAAAAATGTAATCAAAGAAAAAAGTAATCGAAGCACGCACAATGATGGAGGAATTAGTTTTTATGTATCCCTTAAAAAATGTCCCTTAATAAGGGTTTTACTGTACTATCATTGTGAAAGTACACATTTTTCTGCCTTATTTTCAAGCATGTGTACAACATCTCAGTGTAACTCACGGACATGTTTCGGCGTTATAATATGATATATAAAAGAACGATCGTACGTAAATATGAAAATTTAAACCATTTGTTTTAGATTTTTCCTATTAACTCTTTAGAACCGGCATCGTGATACCGAAAAGGAGCATGCGCATTGCTTATGGTTACGAAATATGTTTGACAAATCAGAGCCAAGATGCGCAGGATAAACAAGAAAGTAGTCGTTTCAGAAGTCTGTTCCTACGTGGACTGAAATGTACTTGAAACTACGTATCGCTTCGTGATGCGATAATTATAAATTACTATGATTGCTCAAATCAAAAATAATATACCACATTTAACACAAAATCATTGTGCACTTTTTCGAACTATCCAATGTACTAACGCTAAAGTTTATAGCGCAAATTTAAAAATCTGTGAAAATATAACCTAGTTAACCTGAGAAGAAAACACACAAATGTCAACATTATGCTCAGTGGACGTACTGAAAATGTGATCTCATCGGCAAAATAGTATTTGTCATATTGTACGTAATGTCATAATATTTTATATAAAAAAATAGTGTAATGGAAAATCATTCCGTTCGTATAAACTATGCGCTAACACCTCGCGACACAGAACAACCATTAATACACGATAGCCAAACTAAACAATACGGAGAGAATAGTAAAAGGCGTGAAGAAATACTAGTATTAACAAGTGAAGTAAAAGGTGGCTTATTTTATCCCAGGGCTTTATTATTTCTAACATTATGGTACTTCTTCAGTGGATGTACATTGTTTTTAAACAAATACATATTATCTTACATGGAAGGCGATCCTACAATTTTGGGTAAATGAATTTGAAATAATTCATCTAATTATTTAGATGAAATAATTCATCTAAACTTAAATCTTCCCATTCATTATTTTTGGACATTTAAAAATATCTGTAATTTATAAAAACTGCTTTTGTAATTTATATTTTAGTTTTTGAATATAAGATTATAATTTCAATATTTTATAAATTTGTTTGTAATGCTAAATATTAACTTATTTGAGTAGGTGCTTGTCAGATGTTAATGACCGCAGTTTGTGGATTTATACAAATGTATTTTCCATGTGGAATGTATAAAGCAAATCCTAGGTTAATGAGACCAGCAGGTTTTTATAAACATATGATATTGGTAGGGTGTACAAGATTTACAACTGTAGTACTAGGATTAGTCTCACTCAATTATGTAGCAGTGAGTTTTACAGAAACTATTAAAAGTAGTGCTCCACTTTTTACCGTCCTTATTAGCAGATATTTATTAGGTAAGAAACAATGATGCATTTAACTTATTCTATTTTGTTTCCTACTATTAATAAAATTCATTTAATCGTTCTTTTTAAATTAATTTAAGATTGTGTTAAAAAAGATTTATGTATTAATTATATAATTGTAATATTCTATTTATAGGAGAACATACAGGGTTATATGTAAATTTATCTTTAATTCCGGTAATGGGTGGACTAGCTCTATGTTCAGTAAATGAAATCAGTTTTGATCTCAGGGGATTTATTGCTGCTATGGCTACAAACGTAACAGAATGTTTGCAGAATGTTTATTCGAAAATGTTAATTAGTGGAGACAATTTTAAGTACACGTAAGTATCATATAAATTAATCTTGCAATGTTTCATTAAAAATATATGTTTGTATATTTTAGTGTAATTACAATATATGTAAAATTACAGACCTGCAGAGCTACAATTTTATACCAGTATAGCATCAATTGTGGTACAAGTACCAGTTTCAATTTTGTTAGTAGATTTAACAACACTTGAACATTCTTTGAGTTTTAAATTATTCACAGCATTTCTTTTAAATGGAGTGTTTTTCCATTTTCAAAGTATCACTGCATATGTACTTATGGATTACATTAGTCCTGTGACACACAGGTTTGTCTTATCAGTTCTTATGTAACATAATTATGCTACTTAAAATGTTTAGATTTGAAATCAGTTATTAAAAATAGCATATTTTGTTACAGTGTTGCTAATACAGCAAAGAGAGCTTCATTAATTTGGCTTTCAGTTCTGTTGTTTAACAATCCTGTAACTGGTCTATCAGCAATGGGAACATCTTTGGTCATAGCAGGAGTATTATTATATAATCGAGCACAAGAATATGATAGATTGAATAAAGCAAAATTACGATACAATTCGAAAGTTAATTTACAATAATTTTATATTAACGTCATTTAAGAATTTATAATTGATAACAGATTGTTAAATTAAATGTAAAATTCCACAAAAAATTAAAATGAATTTAGTTTCAACTTTTCCAATACAGTATTTTATTAATAATTAATAATTTATATTCTCAGTTAAAGTAGGAAGGTGAAAATATAATTTACATCCTAGTTGCATTTTTAATTAATAACTTTAATTGAATACATATAATGGTATAAATCAATGTGATTGCAAAAATGATGTCAAATGTAAAATATATACAAAACAAATTGTAAATAATCTTTTATTGAATAAACATATATATGTACATACTTCATATGTCACAGATTTTAACTGATCATAATTACATAAAATAATTGTATTCAAGTTTTCAATTTGTACATAAAGTCTAATTTAAATATTTACTTAAAACTGTTATTATATTTTAAAATTCTGCATAAAACGTAAGTAGTATAAAATGCATAAAAGAGGCAGTATTAATATTATGCGGAATGTCCAAATTTAAATGATAATAAATTTCATTTTGACCAATTTGGTACACAGAAGTGAGATATTACCAATTATGTACAGTAGTTGCAAATTTTGCAACTTAATTGTATTACAAAATTACAATTTAAAAGAGTATATCATATTAATACATTCATAGACTAGCTTTTAGTGCTTGATCAAGATCATCTAAGAGATCTTGTTCTGTTTCAAGACCAATGGACAAACGAACTAATTGCTCGGTAATACCTAACGCTATTCTAGTTTCTTCAGAAATTGATGCGTGAGTCATGACACATCTATATAAAAGATTTAGAGATAAATAATAAAATATGTATTTCCTATATTATATAGTAAATTGTCATTTACTTACGGTAATTCAGCAAGGGATTCAAAACCACCAAGTGATTCAGCTAATGTAAATACTTTTAGTGCCTTTAAAAATTTTGTACTATCTCCTTTAATATAGACAGAAATCATTCCACTATAACCAGACGTTTGTTTGAGAGCAAGTTCATGTTGCGGGTGAGATGGAAGATCTATAATCCAATAAAACTATTATTTAATGAAACTATATTACATCTACATAAGGAGGTAGATAAGAAAGTTATGTGGCTGATAATTTATATAAATACATACACGGATGAATTACTTGTTTTACACAAGGATGAGTTTCTAAAAACTTTGCAACTGCTAATCCATTCTTCATATGCTTTTGCATTCTGATTTCTAAAGTTTTTAAACTTCGATTAACCAAGAAACAGTCAAAAGGTGATGGAACAATGCCCATAGCTGAAATGATAAAAAAATAGTAAATAATATTAACTAACATTAATTTGAAAGTATAATTGCACTACAATTAAAAAAAAAAAAAACCTTACCATTTTGTAAAAATCGAAGTCTTGTTGCAATATCATCCCTATTTGTAATTGCTGCACCCATAATAACATCTGAATGTCCATTCATGTATTTTGTCAAAGAATATACTACAATATCTGCACCTAATTCCAATGGTTTCTATAATAAAATATACGTCGATTATTTGATTTACATATTATATTGAATTATGTCGGATAAGAAAATTTACCTGATAATAACTTGTTAAAAAGGTATTGTCTACTACTAAAATAATTTCAGGATTTTTATGCCTCAATATTTCAGCAACTGCCTTAATATCAACTAATTTGAGTAAAGGATTAGTTGGTGTCTCTAACCAAACCATCTGAAAAAAGATGCAAATATATCTACATATTTATAAGAATAAATCTTCCATTCAGTATTAAACTGTGTTTACAATATTAAATAGAAATACAAAACTTTTTTATACCTTTGTATTTGGTTTTATGTGTTCTATAATATTATTTGGATTTGTCATATCAATAAAAGTTATTGAAACATCGTTTGTAACTAAACAATGTTGAAAGTAACGGTTAGTTCCACCATAAATATCATCACAAGATACTAAATGATCTCCCGATTTTAATAATGAAGATATTACTGTTGTAGCACCCAAACCAGATGCAAAAGTAAATCCGTGTTTCCCATTGTCCAAAGCAGCTAAACATGTTTCCAAAACTTTTCTTGTAGGATTGCCACTTCTACTATAATCAAAACCCTGAAAGGTAAGAAATCATAAAATGATATAATTCTTTAAAAAATTTTCCTTTCCCTACACTTTTCTTTCTTTTTATTTATTCAAAATCTTACTCTATGTTCTCCAGGTCCATCTTGACGATAAGTAGTGGACATTGAAATAGGAGGTATTATTGCACAATGATTCCATTGTAATGGATCTTGTCCAGCATGTATGGCTTTAGTAGCAAAACCTTCATTCGTTGACATACTAGAAAACATTTAAAATATTCATTGCACCATTGGGAAAATTAAAATTAAAAGAAATTTTAAAATATCTGTGATAGTTAATAAAGAAAGCATATATACATAAACTGAAATTTAAATGCTCAAACCGAAATGGACTACACATATGCTTGCAACTTTCATTGTACACACATAAATTACATCATACTATTGGATTCTTATGAATAATATCTCAATATAAATCCAGGATTTAGATTATGTTATAACTCTTAAGAGCTTTATTACTACTTATCTTTCAAACTGTAATCCAAGTTGATAATTTTAACTTTAATTAAGAACTGTAAATACTCATCAAGTTTAAGATTTTTTATATTTCTCACTTTAAAAAAAATGATAAATACATGAAATAAAATACTAATCTTACATAGAACTCTAAATTTCTTGCTTTCGAAAAAGTGATAATTATATGAAATAAAATACTAAATTTCATGCTTTCGAAAAAATAATAAAATACTAAACTTACATAGGGCTCTGAATAATTTGAATTAATCTTATACACATTCATATTAAAGAAACACGAAATTATTACTTACTTGAATTAAAGAATCTACAAACGGAAGAAAATTCACTAAAAGAAAGTAACTGTTAATTGAATGATTGAAAATTAATATAATTCTTGAAATGTTAACGATAACACGTTAAGTGTTAAAATAACAGATTTTACACGTGGCACTGTCTATTTATGACTTCAGCAGGGATCAGGCGTGCTACTTATAATATGCCGATGCTCGTGATTGGAGTAAAGAGTAGGGATACAACTATATGAAATTGTCCGAGTTAATGTTATTAACCTCTACATCTGCAAAGAAAATGTGTATCATAGATTGTCTTTCAGCAAACGGAGTGTTGATGATGATTTTGCGTTCTTTTGCGCATGTTAAGTATAGCAAAGCTCAAACATACGCAACAATATTAGCGATGTAATATGTTTTAATGTATTATTAAATACAAGGAAATATTTTATTTTGTATAATTTTTTATTTATCGTTTAATCAAATGATTAGAAACATCTAACATTCTTTAATAATTTCAAAAGAGAATATTGGTCAGTTCTTATATACACGATAGAACATGCAACCAATGCGATGTGTTCCCACCATAATTAAATCGATATTTACTCGATTATTCGCGAGCTATCAACCTTCGGCGAGTGAAGTTTCTTTCTTAAACGAATCACTTTAATTGACACTTGAAATACTACATTTGAAAGGAATAATACACTGAAATGAGAAAAGTAAAGGGAATTATTTCATTATTGCTGATATTTTTTGTTAATATTGTACGTAGTGATGTGTTTTATAATCTTCTGAATCGAGAGGATCCGTGCATTAATCTATGTGAAAAAACACCGTTGTCTTTTGCAAATGTACGTATTAAATCATTAAATATACATATTCATTTAGTTGTATAACGTATCTAAATAATAAAACAACTTTTAATTTTAGAATAAATATGTCAAATCATGTTGTCAACGAGGTTGTAGGTTCTTCAATTTAGTGGACTTACATTATGGATTAGAATCAAACAGTTTAAATGGTACAAGAGATGCCTGCGAAGCTTGTACGTAAATATTATATTATTATAGCATTTAAATAATTATTTAATTATTTATTAATAATTAATATTTCTTTTTATTTTATTATAGCATGTACAGAAGCATATACAGCACCACAGGATCGTTCTGCATGTAGTACTGGTTGTGATTTTATGGCTAAACAACGTACTTCAGATTTATTATCATTATTTTCTGTTGCAATCTATGTGGAAGAAGGAGTTAATTCCAATATAGTTCTAATGTCACCTGATATACCTGAAAATGATATTTTATCTGATCCAGGATTACGAAAGGAACTTCTTCCTGGTTGGTGGGATTCAAATGGATTTAAGTTACCACAGACATATATTAAAACTGTCCCATTAGATGCTGGGGTAAGTTTTAATTTTAGAAAAATTTATATCTTAAATTAAAAGCAAAGAACACAATTCTAATATAGTAATATTTCATAAAAATATATATATGCACTTCATACAAATATTAAATTTTGTACATAACTTAATATATTTCTTTTGTTATGTCATTTTTATTCTTGTGACTGAATTATTTGGCATGCCTAGACCTAGTTACATAATAAAAGGTATTTATTATCTAATTTAATACCTAATAATAAAAATATAGACTGTGGATTATGGCATACCATCAGACTACTTTCGAGAAAGTGACCAATCAGCTTCAATACCTGGATCTGATTGGCTTCAGTGTGCTTCAAAACATATTGGACTACCTCATTGGCTTCTGGCTTCTGCTATCGCAGCAGCAGCACTATCTGCATTTTGGTTGTGTTTATATCCAGAAAAATCTGCAGATCCTTATAGAGAAATACTTATCGAGAAATCTGATATTTCTCCAACATTTGCATTGTACATACCAGAAGCACCATTGCATAAAAAACCTCCTCCTAAATATACGGAAAGTGTTGATGCAACAGAAAGTAACATGAAAGTTTAGCTAAGAATTTTAGTGGTACAATTTTAAAGTGGTTTTCAAAGATGTTTAAACATATTAATACAATTTTGAATAAAGGATGTTTGTATTAAATATAGTAGAGCTTTATAAGCATTAAAATGATTAAAAGTAACTGCATTTTCTGTTACCAATAAAATTATTTATAGTTTAAAGATAAATTTCTAAGAATGTATATGAAAAAATTAAGCTTTAAAAGATTTATTCAGATTTTCAATCCTATGAGAACTAAAATCAAAGTAGATGGTAAAATAGGCTAAAAAATATTTTCTAGGAAAGCAATTTATGGTAATGTTGTGCACATATACACGCTGATATATTACTTTATATGCAAATATATTTCATTTTTTATAACATGAAATAATAACTGATCAGTTGTTTTCTTATAGATATAGTTATAAAAACCAGTACCGAAATGGAACTTGAAAAAAAAATATGTATGCACATGTAATAAGACTGCAAATTATGTACATACTTCGTTAGTAATTTAGTGAAAATCAAAAGTTTTTATATTTATAATGATGCATTATTTTTCTAAACATTATTTACAAATAGAAACAAAATTTACTTATATTAATTGCAATTTACGCAATATTTCTAAATCTTTGTTTGTTACACTTACATTGGTTACAAATTTTAGTACTAAAATGTTTATTTTATTTAAAATGTAAAAATTGTAATTTTTAACTTTAAGACGTTTGCGTTATATGTATGCATTTTTTTATACATAAAATTATTATCTATAAAAATTATATAAAATTTTACTTGAAAATTGAAGAATAATTAAATTTTGAAAAAGGCATTTATAGGAATTATAATTATTAAATACATTATGTTGATATTTTAATTATAAACGATGATTTAGTTTTTTTATCTTTACTTCACACAAACAAACAGAATGTTGTATAAACTAATACGTTAAAAAATGAAATTGAAAATAGCCTTGAAATTTTTAAAAATATTATTTTACCATAAAATTTTCAAATATGGTGTATTATATTATATGGAAAATATATAACAAATAAAATCATAAATATTGAAATATGATTAAAAATTAATGTATAATTATATAATCAGTGTAAGATATTATTTAGAAATATTTAAGACTCCTAATGTATGTACCTTTGTACTAAAATATTAGGAAATATTACATAAAATTTAATGTGATTTGAAAGTAAGAAGTCAAATAATTATGCAATAACCAAAACTTTTTATAGTGTTAAATTTTTTAGCATAATATTAAAATTAAAAGTATGTTTTTAATTCAAAGATATTGATTAATAAGCTATAAAATTGATCGTTATAAATATTAAACACATATAAAAACTATTGTCATAATTTTTAAGGAAAATACCGTCTTTTTTAGAAATCAATTTTTTTCAAGCAAATTTTACTTATTGAGTAAGTAACAGTGGGAATTGATTTAATTTTTAATTTCAGTATATGAATTATAAGCTAATTTCTATAAGTATGCGGTATGAATAAAACTAGATAATGTATTTTCATTATTCTGAAAGGAATTGTTAGAATTATCTAACATAAAATTTGTATAAAAGTCATAATAGAGTATTATTGTAGTTAAACGTTTACCTTCATTACTTAAGGTGGTCTAATATGTATGTATTAGAATATTTAATGTATAAGGAATTATATTCCAAAACCAAAGTATCTCATGTTCCTTACATAGGATATTGATAAATTCACTGTATTATTAATAAATATTTGTTATTCCGCTATATACAATGTAACAAATAAAATTATACAAAGGATATAGATAGTACTTGTTAGTTTACTCCATATTCGAATCATTTTATTTAAACAAAACAGAACAATTTTTATAGTTTTCAATACGAGACAGTAATTTAACGTTATCGCGTAACAAAGATAAAGATTAGCACCTTCCATAAACGTTAATTATAGTCATCAAACCAAAAGTACATTCCGCGGTACCGATTAAAATTTCACGTCCAAAAGTGTTCGCATAGAAAACAAGGCTTCTCAATTTTTAATTATTTTGTTACCTTATTCGCCATTGTTTTTAAGTTTCCTTATAATAAAGAATTATCTTTTTAATTCAAGATAACTGCAATATGTACAATATGAAAAAGTATCTTGAATCCAAAAAATAATTCAAACTCTTAATTGTAAAAAGAATTGATCTGTACAATAGTTATCACTTAATTTCGTTTAAATATTATCTTAATTCTAAATATTTAAAACATTTACAGCCAATAAAGTTTTGGATCGTCTCTCCTAACTTGAAGTTTTAATACATGCCTATATATTTTTAATGCTGGACCTAACAGTAAATCGAGTCCACTCAGAACATCGGACCGTTTCATTAACAGTAAAGAATGACCATCAATATCCTGAAACAATCAATATTATAAAAAGTTAACAAATAACTAGAAATAAGGGGATCAAAAATTCATACCTGTTGTCTGAACACTTCTGCTTCTTTTGGAAAAAGTCTTGCAAAATATTGATATACTTGTTCAGATGTCCAATCTGAAGCATCAGGTATATTTGGATCAATTCCGTCTCTTGGACTATCGTCGTCCATTTGGTCAGAAGATCCTCTGGCAGGTGACACTTGGGGACTTAAAACTGGAGGTAACACGGGTGGATTTGATGGTGTATCAGGTCTGTTATTAATCAGACCAATATTTTGGTTTATACTTGTTTTATAATGTTTTTGAATACAATCATTACATTGCCATTTTGAATTCGATTTAGGAATCATTATTCGTGGTGTGTGGCAATAATAATGATAGGCTTCATCACAAGTGAAACATGTTGCTAGAGGACCCTGTAAAATAATAATATTAAATTACCATATACAAAAGATAGACATGTTAGTCTTACTTCACTTACAGCATCTGAAGTTTCACAACATATCGTACAGCTTTTGCAACGTTCACATTGCCAACTGCTGCCTGCTTTTTGAATCATTTCTTCTGGGCTATAAATACAACTTGGATGTGCTGTAAATAAAAATAAATTTAAATGTCTCAGAACATTGATTTCTAAATGTTATAATATTTTCAATATGACAAATACCTCGTACTGTACAATCACGACAAGCAACTAGAGTTTCTTGTTTTTCTTTGGCACAAAGACTACACTGTCTACAAGGTCCATCTTTGACAGCTGATTTTGAAGAATCTTGAGGCTCTTGCGATACAGTAGATTTATTTTGAGATCCTGGTTGTCTTCCACGTTTTCTTTTTACAAGATTATTGTCAGAGGGATCAAATACTTTCTTAGCTCTCTGAAACATAGTTTTTGTGCACTTGACAACTACACAAATTTAATAATAATGTAATCACTAGTGATAGGATCTAAGTATATTGCAAGTAAGTTTGAATCTAATTAAATAGCTTTAAACAGTTCTTGAATGCATCAAGAAAATAATAATAGTTTTGAATGTACTCATCAAATTTTAACGAAAAACTTTGAATCCTTACTGCAAAAGATATAAGAGATATTTCCAAGCATAATCGAACCTTGATCAAGTATATTTACTTACTAAAATCCTACAAATACTTGTTCTAGGTTCAAAATCAATTTGTATAATATGAGCACTTTGTAAGTTCATAGAAAAGAATATTGTCTTTTTATTGGTATTTGTATCCCACGAAGCAAAACTTTTGTTTTGAACATTGAGTATATATTGAATTTGATCCCATCTCTAGTAACCGCTACATATATAACGCGCACCTTTCTACGAGCACTACGAAAACCACCAACATTAGTATTAGACGGTGTGGGCGATGGATTAGTAGAACTTCTTCCCGCATCTTCGTCTTCTCGTTCTTCGCTAAGATGTCCGGATTCTTCTCTCTTTTCCTTCTGCGAATGTATTTCCTCTTTATTGTCTTTTCGATAATCCTCAAATTTGATCTCTATGTCCATAGGATCGTCGGTTCGAACAAGTAGGCGCTGTTTACGCTCAGCTTTCGACGACCTTTTGAGGTTATGTGTCTGATTATCGGTATTTTTGGATTCCTCTTTTGTACTTTCGATAGAAGTTTGCGATGGATCTATCGAGTCTTGGTCTCTCATAGAATCGTGTTCCACCAGTAAATCGGCGTTTTCGTTTCTTCCAACTATTATCTCGTAACATTCTTCCTTCCTGATTTGCGGATCAGATTTGGGGCTTGCCTGACGTGAAGATCTCGGTGTGTTCGACCTAGAGTCCGTAATCGTCAAGTTCTCGGTTTCATCAAAATCATACAGTCCACCGGTGGTCGACGAAACAGTTTGTATTTCCTTGCGTCGCGCATTCCCATTCTCAAGCGTAAAAGATTCCCGATGCGTGGATTCGACGGTAGTTGTCATGTCAGACGTCGCCACCAGCGAGTAATTGCCGTTAGAGAGACGCGTCAGATTACCGCTGGCCACTTCTTTGCCGAGAAAATCTTCTACCATACGTCTCGAAGTGGGATTCGACACACCATCAAGCAACTGTTCGATCAATCTGTAAGCTGGTACACCTTGATCAAGGTAATCTGGCTCCTCGACAACGAGCTCGGCCACGGCACCCGCCACCATCCCGGAGTTCAATTTCTCTTTCACGAAACCCTCTGGTCGATTTTTGTAAAGCTGTAACCGTGACCATTTTGATGCGTTCCTATAACTGGTATTACCTTTGTAATCAACTTGGATGACCTTTTCTGCTTCGATTAATCGATGAAGATCAGCGATGGTGTCTCTCGCATCCACAGAAAATTTTCGCAACAAATAGTTACATATACGATCAGCATCGGGCCGTGCTTTACGTCGACGTAACTGATCTATTGCCTCCAGGATTTGCTCCTCGTGGAGTATTTGTGTTTCCACCCGATGTTGCTGCATTATTATGCGTCGATAAAACGTTTTTCGCAACAATGCGATATTTTACGATTCACCTTCATGCGATACTCGAGGGGAGCGTAGAATTCATAAAAATGATTTTCACAGCGATACTTTGTGCACGTTTTTAAAGTGCTTGGACCATTCGCGCGTGATGTCATAACGATTGACAAATTTTTATGTATGCTGCGTGTATATCCGCTATCAATTTATTAGATTTTCGTTTTTCATTCTTTTTCTCAATTTGCGACATAAACGTGATCGGCGACTGTATATCAATCCATTATTCCTTAATTACATTTATAATGATGCATAAATAGAAAGTAAATCGATCTTGTATGAGAAATTGTTCCCACCGGTGTTCGTAAGAAGCGCAAAATCAATTTCGTGTATAAAATAAATTCGAGCGCTATATCACGATAAAAGCGTAATACATTTCAATACGATTGTTTTATTTTCGAATCGTATAATAAAATACTTCTACGGATAAAAAAGAAACATAATCAGAGAACTGGCAAACGCGATACGATATTATCGATTACACGGATCGACCAAACCAATAACGTGCAAAATCTATGGCGCATTTGGAACGCGCGAAATGTCCGCTCAACGTTTCAGCATTGATCACCGACCGCGGAGCGATTAAACGCGGCTCACGGAACGAGCTCACGAATGATCAACTTTGTATCGTTGGTCCGGTACCGGGGGAGAGGATTTCGAATCGCGTACCGCAGCTGCGCCGATCCATCGTTGGACTGAAGCCGAAAGGTGTACCGACGAGAGGCAATCTGACAAAGTCAGGTCGTCCGCCGCTGCTGGATCGAACATCGAACTGCAGCGCGACGCATTTCACACCCTTTACACGCACTTTCAACGTCAGAATACTTTCCGTGTCCACGTACGTAACTTCCTTCCGGTAATCGTAAGGCACGATTTAAAATTCGAACAAATCGTCGTTATATCGAAATAATCGCGGAGCCGAACAAAGAGAATCGTCTTCGTATCGGTTGGAACCGCTTGTTCTTTGTCCGTTGTGTTTCACCGTTAAAAAGAACCTAATTCGTGAATGTCTTCTTCAGATATCCACGTACGCGCCGAGTGACCGTCGAACGTTTACGCCACGCGTTAATCGTTTAACGAGGAACACCTTTCTCGCACTGTCCGACAACTTTTCCGCGGTGTTGGATCTCTCTGTCGAGCGCGCTTCGCGACAGGCTACTCCGATACACGCGACCACCAAACGACGATTCCACGAGTCCACAGTCCTCGCGAATGTGCACGCCACACATACGTATCACACGTACACGTACATGTACACGTATACTTTCGTATACGTACCACGCGGGATATACATCGTCGCCGGTTGCGTTTCCCGTATACGTCCGTACGCGTTGACACCGTGCACGGACCCTTCACGAAAACTTTCGCGGATATATCGTTTATCGTGCGCGGTGACGCGTACAACCAATTCCAAGAACGTCGATAAGCCTAGACAATTGTATCGCGCGATAGCCACCGCAGCACACGGCAAACCTGCGAGACGCGGTCTTTTCCCGAGGTCGCCTCGGCGCGCGCCAGCTTCTTCTCTCACTCCCGGTTCGACCGGCCGAATTATTCTCGCGGATTCGCACCTTTAAAGATTACGACGCGCGTTTACAAATCGTTGTCGCTCGGTCGACGAACGTGTTCTTTATAGTTTCCAACGTTCTTCCAACACTTTCTTAAGCGTCGCATATTTCAATAGCGGTGCAACGCGCGAGACGCGCTCTTTTTCTAGAGGCGGCCTCTCGTGCGCGCCGCGCCAGCTCTCCTTGTACAGAACGCCCAAAAAGATCGAACTCCGTGAAACTGTGACGCACTTCACCTCGCTAGTTTTTTCACTTTCGAGAATTCTTGTAAAATTGTTTGCATCACCGATCGACTGCCCTCGTAGCTGGTTCCACGAATTATTTCGATAAAACTTCAGAGCGCCAAGCCGGGTGCGGCTACACGCGAGTATGGACGGGCCGCCGCTGGAGTACGGAACACGCGGAGCGCACTTTTTGCGGGGACGGGCCGTACAGGTGCGGCGATATCTTTGTTAGCACCCTAAATGGAACCAGCTTCTGCGCATCGCTTTCACCGATTTTTTTCTAATTATTTCTTTTTCTTCTTTTTAATTGAAAAGATTAACGTAAAGATGTACTTTTTTCATATTTTTCTTCAAATAAACAAAATAAAAGGAACTAAATATTTTTATGCGGAATATTGATTTATTTTATGTAGAACGTTTGAGAACTTTGATAATTGATTTTTTTTTTAGACAATACACAGAATATTTGTTTACAATGAAATAAAAACGTTGAATTATAATTTTATTCTTTAATATCAAAAGAACAACTAGTTTCTATGTAAATTTACAGTAAAATAAAAATGTTCGTGAAAAATTTTTTCAACGATTTACGCATGATACATTCCTGCACTTGTGATTTTAGAAACGACCGTGACGTATCGGCCATTTTCGAGCGCTGCTGTCCTCGTTCCCGGCCGAATAGCTCCGTTTTGAGCCTGTTTTCAGATCGACGGATCTGACGCAACGGATCATAAGCAATTCTTAAATTACGTTACACGTAATGCGTTTAAATTCCTTGTTTTTGTAGTAATCGTTTCAAAAATGAAAGTTTGAAGTTTTAATTGTAAATATCAAACTGTATTCTTTTTAAATATATTAAGAATACCGAGAAGTTTCCACAAACGTTTGATCACGAAAGCATACGTATCTAATACGTAATAAAAAAAAATAAAATATAACGTTGGGATTATCATTTTCTTATTTCAGTGACTGAACAAAGCAGATCTTAACTTTTATAAACGAAAAATAAATACGTAACGATTTGAACACGCAACCAAAGCAATGGAAAGAATATTTTTATTTTTAGCAATTTAAAACATTTATGTTTCAAACATTTTTATTATAAAATATACCAATATAAAAAATGTATAATGCAAACATATGAAAATAAAAGATATGTACTGTTAATAATCTGGTATATCTTCAGTAGCACAACCATTATTAGTGAATACTTTTGTTGTATAAATTAAATGTAATTTTCTTTTTCCGCCATATTGTTACCAACACTGTGTCGCTGAAGTTTCGAAATCTATCAGAAAATAATATTCTAATTAGTAATTATAGTTATATCCATACTACGTACTGTCGTAATATGATTTTATACATACCAAATTCACCGGTTTCGCTTTATAGATAAGTTTATTATTGTCCCTTAAAGGGCTTTGTTGCATACTTCCATTTTTCTTTACAGAAATTGGTGAACCTTTTTGTGAATTTAATGTTTTATAGGACGAACGTTGCGGAGATTCATACAATTTGTTATATTGATTAATATCGAAAGAAGTATTCAGTCTTTTACTCAGAGGAGGCGTCTGTGATTTTGGAATACCAGAACCTATCGACCGACGTTTGGGTGTCGTTTTCTTTGGAGATGGTAATTTACTAAAAATAAAAATCAGTAACTTTCTACCGAATAATTTGGTTTGTTGTTTAAGTCAGTTTTATGTATGTAACAAAATTGAACTTACCGTTTTGGACTACTATTTATTTTGTTACTGTCGTCAACATTTGCGCGTATAGATACTGGTGAAATATCACAAGAAAAGTTACGCTTTTTTGTCACTTGTACCTGAGTTTTTTGTGATTTAAAATTTTGGGCGTCTGGAGTCGACGAAGCGACCGGTTTCGTAGATCGTGAAGATTTTTTCATTGCAGATTCATTGTGCGTTGAATTTGGAGTACTACTAATTATTTTATGAGATTTAGGTGGCGTTACAGTTTCATATGATGATACTGCCTTATTATTAACAGTTTCTACAAAAGCCAAAAATATGGTATTAGAAAAATAATAATATATAAATTAACACATTTATATATTATTTTTTCGCGTAATTATACCCTTTTTTTGCATAATTCCTACGGGAAGAACAGCTCTCATCGGACCCTTCTTATTTGTAACTTCTACGTCAGTTTTCTTTTTTTTAAGTTTATTTTTAACTGTACTTATCGTTGCAGTTTTTTCTTTCCGTAAATCTAATGTTGTAAATGCTTCTGTTTCGGCGTCTAAAAACAAATGCAAGTTAATCTGTGTTTTTATTAACTGATATGAAGGAAGAGAATATAAAGTTACCCTTTTGTAATCCACCCTTATTGATTTTTGTAATAACTTTTTTGTTTGATATTGGGTTTACAAGGCAAGGGTCGCTAGGAAATCGTTTTATTACTTCTTTTAGTTGACATGCAGATTTATTATTGCACGTTGCAGGGATTGTATCTTTAGTTGATGATACAGACATACTTCGTCTAATAACATTTTTATGAAACGACTGTTTCTATAAAACACAATATCATTAATTACATTGATAATGTTAATCGCGTGAAGATAATAAATGTTCTAGATCATACTTACTTTTGAGTCTGCATCTAAACTTCGTCTATTAATTGATTTTGATGGGATTTTTCCACCATCATTCTTTGTACGCTTATGTTTATCATCATCATTGGAAGCAGAATTTAAGACTTTTCCTAAGTTTTTAAGTACATCTGAAGTAGATCTTTCAGTCTGACTAGTTAATAACTTTGCTATATTGGCAAGGAGTTCTACTACTACTTTCTCATGTAATAAGCTTTTACTTCCATCTTCCAAAGAATTCTCGTTTCGTACAATTTCATTATTAAGTACTTTTTCATTTCTTTCTTTTTTTGCTTTTTCAATATTAGTTTTTAAGGATTCATTACTTATTCCGTTTAAACACTTCTGACTATCAGTACATTTATTTATGTCCGAATCATTAAAATTTATATTTTTATAATCAAGTGATTCTTTAACATTATCTGAATCATTTGTTAAATTGTCTTCTTGACTTTGCTCCATATTATTTTTTTCTATGTTTTGTATTACCTTTGAACTATTATCTGATTTTTGTGGGCTTTTTGCTAAATTGTTAGGTGTATTAAGATATGTGGTTAATAATTCAGTATTGTTCTCACAATTAATACCTAAAACCTTCTCCAAATTTTCTACCAATTTATTTGCTTCTGAATTATTTTCGGTTTTAATAAGTTTTTTGAGTTCCAGTAAAAGAGTTGTTGCCGTAATACGTTTCTCTGTTTGCACTGATTCTGTCAGTTCCAATTCTAATTCCTTTACATTTTCTGTTATTTTATTAACAGCAATTTCCGCATCTTTTTCTGTACCTATTTTATTATCTGTATATTCTTTGTCTTTCATATTTGTTAATTCTGAACTATTTATATGAGGAGACAAGGGCAATTCAATTAAATTATCTACCATATTTTCATCATCAAATGCTGGTAATAATTCTGATGTCCAAAGTGGATTATTAGTGATAAGATCATCTGTGCTTGCTACAAAACAAAATATATATTATTAATGGAAACTAATATCACATGTTCGTATTTTTTATTCTATATACATCTTTTTTGCTTTTACACATTAATTAAATACTTACAACTTGAGCTTGTTTTTAAAGCTAATTCTTCAAAAGTTTTTGCAAGAAGTTTTGCTTCAGTAAATATTGATTTATTAACTTTATCTCCTTCCTAAAATAGAAACTCTAATTATTTAAAATCTTTTAAAAATATGAATGAACGAATTAGATACAAGAATAATTACATAAAATACAGAGTCTGAAGATGTATCTGAAGTAGAACTCCTATAGTTGTTCTTGCTGGAATTAATTTCTGGTGTAAACAAATCAACATCTATTAATTTATTATCCTTATCTGATTTTTCATTACTTTGTTTGAAATTTTCAGGGGATTCTAAAACTTTTTTTTTAAGTTTATCAAACTGAATTGTTAACTCTGGTAATATGCATTTAGTTGATTCATTTGTTATTAATTTTATTTTATTGTTAAAGTCTATTTCTACACTTAATTTAGAATTTTCCAATTTTTCGGATGTCTCACTTTTTAAAAATGCACGATTAATAGTATCATTTGATGACAAAATTGATAGAGTGGTAGAAGAAGAAGCAGCAGAGTTTATTCTAGGTATGCAAGAAATATTTGACAAGTTTGAAAACATAGAACTTCCACTACAGTAACTTTTTAAAAAACCTTCATTTAAAAAGTCTAATGAATTTAGAGAAGATATATTACTTCCACCATCAGAATTTATTTGTAAAGGTTCTGCCAATGATATGCATCTAGAATTTTGTGATTTTTTAAAAGGTTCATTTCCTCCTTGGGAAAAAGATCGTTGAACTTTAGGAACTTTCAACATGTAGTTAGGAGATGCACTTTGTCCTATGCTGAGTTTATCTTTTTCCACTTGGATTGCTGCTTTTTCGTATAAAGTAAGTGCCATTTCATTCTTATTTAATTCATTACTTGTTTCAAATAATGAATCATTCATCAGAGATTGATTTAAAATAGATAAATCAGCATCTTGAACATTAATACTACATATGACATCATTAGTTTCCAAGTTATCATGGAACCCATTAATATTAGTTAAATTAGGTATCACACTTTCATTAGATATTTTATTAACAGTAGCAGCCTTTTCAGTTAATTCTTCATATATTAAAGATTCATCCAATGTTTTATTTACTTTCAACTTTTGCTTATTATTACTGTGTTTGACACTATAATCATCTGTAAAATCAAAGGAATGTGTTCTTAATTTATTATCTTTTTTACATTTTGGTCTAAGCGCTTTTTCTAAAGCCACTTCAAATGGATCATCTCTTTTTTGAATATATTCTGTAGTTTTATGTAGTACCATGTCAAAGGGATTATTCTCTAAACTGTCACGTTTTCCTGGTATTAATGGAATTGGATCTTTGATTAAATTATTATGGTCATTATTTGTGATATCTGTGGGAGCAGGTATTAATGGCGATGCAAGTCTTGAGTTTAATATGCTCTTTCTGTCAGGACTTTCTAAATCTATAAGATCACACATATTGTTCATGGATTTAGTGACAGTGTTTTGGATATTTTTTCTTCAATGACAATAATGTAACCTTCTCCCACACAAAATAAATGCTACTTTATAAAAATGTATTCAGATTTTATAGTGTTATTTTGTAATACTATCACCACATTAAATAGAAACTGTCTTATTGATATACATGTACTGATGAATTATCTGTAAATAAAAATTGTTTTTTTAATTTTTGTATACTTACATTAACTTTTATATACAAGCTTTTTTCATATACTTACAAATGGCCTTTAAATAACAATCGTTTCTCTTTATATACATATACTCACGAGCAGTTTTTAAATTAAAATTAATTGTTTTACATTTATATATGTACTTACGCATCTCACAGTAGTATTTGTACTGACATTTTAAAAATCTTTACTCCAGTGTCCTCTGATGGCTACTTTCAGAATTGAAAATGAAACGGAATTTGTGGACTCGAACGTTATAGTTTCATTTGAATTTCATTTTCATAAATGTAATAATTAATGTATTCCACAGATCCAATTATTATTGTTGTTATAAACTTAAACAAATTTGTATACTTTTGATTAAAGTCAGCACCAGTACTTATAATATAACCCCTTTTATAGAACTTCTATAATCTGACCATCAGGTAATGTAACACAGACAGTTCAGGAAATTCTTCTAATAAAGTATCCTTCTATCGCCTACTTTTCATTTCATGATCATATATACAGTGAACAAAATGTATGAATAATGAAAAAAAAAGGTAATATGAACCTTAGGCAATTGCATATATAAATAATAGATACTAGGTATTCATTTGGCGAGTCATAAACATCATAAGAGCGCTTGCGCGTTATATTTAAATGCATACTATACCACAGTATTATACTGTGACTATACTAAACGAATCAGAACTGACATGCGCAGAATGAACGAAAATTCATCTAACGAACAATATATTCTCTCGTAGCAGAGAATATACTAAATTTCCTCGTTGATTAATGTATTTTACCAACAAATAATTCTTTTTCCTTATTGGTGGTTACTTAGGAGGAAGCTAAATACGATTGGTTAACGATTAATGTGTACGCTAAAATACAACCAATCACGTTGCTCCGTTACGTTTACTAACGCGATATAAAGATGCATGTAAGAAGGTTGCTTTGTTAACGTTGGCGTCACCGCTAAACAGTTCTTCCGTTGACCGAGGTAGGACGATTTGGGCTTCGGTAGTTTTTCAGCCGCTATTCAGCGTCTTTTACGGACACGGTGTTATCGTGCACCAAGTTGATGATTCGGGAGTGCAAGAGCAAGTGATAGTGCAATAGAAGGATCGATTATTGTGGAAAGATGTCAACGAAAGCTGCTAAGAAAAGTACATCGACGTCGGGTACTAGTGGGCAATCGCCACAGTTTAGTACGTCAACGCCGATCGGCCAACGACCAGGAAGTCCCTTGAGTCCGACTCGTTATTCTCGTCTTCAAGAAAAGCAAGATTTACAAAATCTAAATGACCGGTTGGCGTGTTACATTGACAAAGTACGACATTTGGAAGCAGAGAATTCCCGACTTACGCGGGAGGTACAGACGACCCAGGAGACTATCACCCGCGAAGTATCCAACATAAAGTCTATGTATGAACATGAATTATCCGATGCAAGAAAATTACTGGATGATACCGCGCGAGAACGGGCGAAGCTTGAAATTGATACTAAACGACTATGGGATAACAACGAGGAACTAAAGTCCAAGTAAGTAACTTTGAACTTAATTCGTAGTGCTTAAAACTGTAATGCAATTTGAGAATGTTAATCCAGGCTCGATTTTAATGGGATGGGACCGAGACTGTTTTAAGATTCGCGGTTTTTCTTTATTCTTTTATTTTGTATATTGTTTACATAACTGATTATGAAAATGAAGTTTCTAACGTAGGAAGTTCTGATAAACATGGGTTTACAAACTAAGTAATGTAGTAAACAATTAAAATTATTACTTACGTTTCATTTTTTAGTGTTTTATTTATGATAATATATCGTGGAACTAAAATTGAGAAAAATTGAAAAATCAAAGTAAATTTTGTTTTGCGAATGATTCATATATTTCCAATTACATGGTATCAGTGGTTTTTAAATTATTGCAAATAAATGCTCGAATTTGCTGGTATTGTTTACAAACTGTATATGTTACAACATTGGTATGTCAGTGCTGTTTACAACTGTATATAAACTATATACATATAATAATCTATAGTAACAGCATTTAAATAGTTTTTGCGACAAAATGAAAAATATCGATATTTTTTTTTTAAAGTTACTTTTATAAATTGTATTATTTTTTTTTTAAGTTAATTTTGGATTTGATTGGTTTCCTGATTGATTGAGTTTTAATTGATATTTCAGATTTTGTTTAAAATTTACATTTAATTCTAAGTGAACAATGCATTTTTTAATTTTAAAGATAAGTTGTTGGAATCTGTAGATAAAAAAGTAAAATGTTTGATAAGGGTATAACAGAGAGTAGAAATGTCACAATCTAAAAGGATGTATAGAAAGTTGTTGCTTGATAATGAAAACTACTAATTATTTTAATCAGCTAGAATGAGAGAGAATAGTTTAGCTTTTAGTACCATAACTATTGTGATTAGATTTTTTTAATTATTATTTGATTAACAGTTATATTTGTAATGAATATAAAATATAATGCATACAAAAATCAAAGTTAAACAGAAAATAAAATTAACACTTAGAAAAATATGAAAGGAAGCTGCATGGTCAGATTAATATGATAAGGAGATTCATTCATATTGTATTTGATAGATGACGCGATATCTACAAGTAGATGTGTATCATCGTACACATATATCAAAATGTATCTTTGGACTCTCAAAGCTAAAACATATGAAGTCATATCTCAAAAATTTTAGGGGACAAAATAATGGTTGAATCCTTGAAAGATGTAAACTTAATTTTATGCGACTGTAGTAAACAATATTAATACTGTTAACGTAAATAAATATTATTTTTATTTATAAATAATAAATATTATTTAAAAAAATTTTTTTTTTTTACTAAAAAATTACATGTGAATATTGGTTAAAAGTAATTTATAACCTTTGTTACTTTTGTATTGAATTCATCACGGAAATAAATAGTCATCCTCTTTAAAATCCACAAAATTTCGGAATATTTGGGTGTGCCTAAGTTGAAACGTGACGTTACTACGAGTGATTGCGTCACGTTTACTATGCGACGGTGATGTCATCTTGAAGCGCGGGTATAACCTCGACTGAAAACATTGACCTCCTTTCAGTGAGCGTTGAGCAATCGATAAAAATACGAATAATACCTAAAACAAGCGGCAAATATTTCACAGGATCTTTGATACAACAATGAAACAAAACAAATGAAGACAATGAAAATATTTAATATTGAACACGTGCATCAATGTAGCAATTCAAACATAACGTTCACATGTAATACCAAAATTTATTAAATCGTTCTTTATACATAATATCGCATTTTTGTTGCAATAAGTTACATTTATTTGTTGGTCGTGTTTTACGAAGGTTTAATTTTCAATAGAAATGATATCTTTTTTACGTATACGTATCATATTTACATATGTGAATTACATGTAAAGCATTTTTTACGTAAAGATTTTTTCATTTGATCGATAACTAGTCTTCCTCCTAAGCTATTTAATTTCATGTTTTACGAGTTAACACAATGAAATTTCAAGTACAGAAATAATATTTTTAATCTCTAAAATTATCTTCTGATAATATATTGAACTTTTCTTATGATAATTCAAACGATTTGCAAAAAGTAGTTCAGTTATCAGTCTGATAATGTTGCTCGTATATAAAGCGTAAATATTACTAACTTTGGACTCAGCAGTTATAAAAAGAAATACATTCCTTATTAAAGGAATGACGTTGACGGTAGAATTCGTGTCCTTGCGTAAAAATATAAGGAGTGCCATTTCACCATTCCAGTTATCTCTGTTATTTGCAGTGATATCAGAAATATTTATTAGTAAGAATTATATGATATCAAAGATACCATAAAATGTTAATTTTCTATTCGTTTGCAATGTATTATTTTTCCAAATTCTGAAGTTCAAAAATTAAAAAAAATAATAATTTTCCGCAAACAACGCGCTTGCAATGCGTATTTCAAAAGGAATAGCGGGAATTGAGTAAAACATCGCTTTATTACTTCTAAATGTTCTGTATCATAATATTTAATGCAGTCCACGAAAAATTTGCTCGGAATGTACCAGTGGGTCAAGACCTACATTTGCGAATCTTTGCTTTATGTCGCTTAACGGATCCGTTGAATGAAGAAGTTGACCCTGAAATCTTTCAGGATTCTTAACCTGTACAAAATTATTGTTTCGATAACTTTTACGAATAAATTTTTGTCGCTGCATCATTAACATAAATAATTAAAGTAGTCAGGTTAAAAGAATTGTTTGCTTAAATTTAACATTTCTTAAAAACAATTTCATCATTCACCAAATTTGCCTTCTCTAAATACATTACTTTATTATGAAATTGTGAAATCGGTATAAAAGATTTTACATTCATTTTTTTTTGTATATTTTAACCAGCGAATATCGTATGTTTTTTGTATTATTTAAACAATATTAGTGTGTATTATATGTATCTATACATATGGCATATAATACATAGTTGATGAATGTAGATTTTAGGGTAACGAAATATTAAGACGGTTTGGAACCCTATGGTAGAAAATAAAATTCTTGATGTGGGTCGTTGCTTGAAATAGAAACACGCAAGCTCACCTCTTCTTTACGACTGCCGGAATGTCGTAAACGATCGAGATTTTGTTAAGGATTTCATTCCATATATTCGGAAATTTTTTAATTCTTATTACTTACTTTGGAGAGAATTTGTTATTAGATGTTAAATTATATCGTAAATGTACGACCGTAAATTTACAATTGTAAATTCGTAAATTAGATAATGTAAACATATATTTTTAAATTTCTAATATGTTATTATTTACAAATGCTTTTATGTATATTTCATATAATAAACTTTATAAATATTTATAATGATCTTTTTCAGATTAGATAAAAAATTAGTGGACTTACAAGTTGCAGAGAGAAATCTGTTGCTATATGAAACTCGTTACAATGATTTACAATCACAGTTCAATCAGTCACAAGCAGAACGTAAAAAGCTGGCTGAAAGAGAAAGAGAACTGGAACAAGAAGTAGAAAAATTAAAAGCATTATTAGAGGATACCCGTAAACATCTTGGAGAAGAAACTTTACAACGCATTGTTCTTGAAAATAATATTCAAAGTTTGAAAGAGGATATTAGTTTTAAAGATCAAATTTATCAACAGGAATTGACAGAAACACGAACAAAACGACAGGTTTGGAAGTCTCTTATTATAATTTATTACAAATATTGCTAATAATGTATAAATGAATTAAAATTGTTAATACTTAACATTGTTTTATAATTTAGATTGAGATCTCTGAAATAGATGGCCGGCTTGCTGAACAGTATGAAGCAAAGATGCAACAGTCTTTGCAAGAATTACGAGATCAATATGAAGCACAGATGCGAGCAAACAGAGAAGAAATTGAATTATTATATGAAACTAAGATCAAGAATTTAACAGCTCATGCTCAACGTAACAGTGGAGCAGCTAGTTTAGCTGTTGAAGAATTGAGGCAAACAAGAACAAGAATTGATACACTTAATCAGAAAATCAATGAACTTGAAGCATCTAATAACGCTCTTAATGCACGCATCAGGTAACATTTGTAGCAATTATATTTAATTACTTTTGGAATGAATGTTTTGAATAAATGCATAAATTTTTATACAGAGACTTAGAAAACTTACGTGAAAACGAAAAGGCTCGTCATGCAGAAAGTTTAGCATCTTTGGAAGCAGAATTGGCGCGTATACGTGATGAAATGGCTCAACAACTTCAAGAATATCAAGATCTCATGGATATCAAGGTAGCACTTGATTTGGAGATTGCTGCATATCGAAAACTTCTTGAATCTGAGGAAGCCAGGTAATATAATTTTATATTTTACTATTTTATTCAAACGAACGAACGTTTGGACTTGTTCATATTGTGCATCAATGCATCAATATTCTTAATAAATTGTTTTCATTTACAGATTAAACATCATGCCAGCACAATCAAGTTCGTCAGTATCTAGTAGTGGTAGAGTAACTCCTTCAAGGCACACTCCATTAAGAGGCGGAAAACGAAAACGCACTTTATTAGAGGAAAGTGAAGAACGTAGCAGTACTGACTACAGTGTAACTGGAACAGCCAGAGGTGACATAGAAATTACAGAAGCTGATCCTCAAGGACGATTTGTAAAACTTACCAATAAGGGGAATAAGGTATAATATAGTAAATTTTTGGAGTTGATATCGTATTGTCCTCAATAATATCTAAATGTTATTTTCACATTTTACAGGAACAAGGACTAAGTGGATGGCAAATTATTCGTAAAGCTGGTTCTTTGGAAACAATATTTAAGTTTCATCGTACTGCTAAAATCGACGCAGGCGCAAACGTTCTAGTATGGTCAGCAGATATTGGAGCCACACATGAACCACCATCAAATATCGTCATGAAAGGACAAAAATGGTTTACAGCAGATACTATGACAACCACACTCCTCAATAATGAAGGAGAAGTTCGTATTTTTAAGATGTTTATTTTGATATGAATTTATCAATTAATTCAACAAATATTGATAATATTTTCTATTTCTTACAGGAAATGGCTACTTCAGAATGCAAAAGGCAACAGTTGTCTACGTCTCTATCCCGACATAGGGAAAACTTGGGTTTCCGACCATCTGAAGAACTTCATCATCAACAGGTACGTTGTCACAAAATTGGTACAGACAAACAACAGAAAAAGTATTAACCATTACTTACGAAATGTGAATATTTTATTGACTGATTTTGATTTAGGTTCAATATTTTTTTTCTATTCACAGCAAAGATAATTGTTCAAAATTGAATTTTTTTTTCTGTAAGAATGATTATCACTACTGTTCTCTCTAGGAGGTATTCATATACTTTTTTTTATAAGTAATAATGATAGTAACAATGTTACAAATATGAATAGAATCATTAATTTTAAAATTATTAGCAATCTCATTGTTTTCAAACGATTGTGTATTTACTTTTATATATTATATTTAATTTACGAAGACAATGTGGCTATAAAACATTTTAATTTTCTACACTCAAAATGCTTGCTTATTCCTTTTTTGTTAGATTTAATATAACAAATTATAAAATAATTAAAATCGGAGAATGTATCATCAATATATATTCTTCTTCCATAGAGAAGATATCTCTACCCATATTAAGTGGGCGACCGAACGGTTCTGATGAGTCGATTTATGTAAGTTGTTTTCAACGTATCGAACGTTACAATAGTCGCCGATGGTTAATGTTATTCGCGCTTCAAGTAAAAGAATTATTTGGCTTTGTTTTTTTCTTCTTCACAGCACCATGTATTCATACTCACGCTTAACTAAAACTTCATGTGTTAAAAGTAATGTTATTTCTCGTTAAAAATATAAACATCTCATTAGTTAACCACATTGTCTTTAGGGTACATTTGAAAAGAATAAAGTGAAACTTGTTATTGTATATACTATAAATGTACAATTATTATTGTATGTATTAAAATATACTTTATCATTGATAATGATAAAATTCTATTGGTGCATGTGTTATATCTTTCTAATACATCGCACTAAAGGTTTCAAATATTTGTATTTGAAATGTATTAATAAATAATTGAAACATCATTGTTGCTGCGTTAATTAACTGAATTGGTTAACGCTTATAGGTGTTAATATTTAATTATGAAACATCATTAAAACAGTTTCATACTCGTTATTATGCGATATAAAGCACAGTTACTAGATAATAAAAACAAATAATCACTTTTTATTTGCTTTTAGGTAAAGCTTGTTAAATACTCTGTTAGTCTGTTGCATGTATAAATATTTTAAGATAACGTTGAAATTAAGTAAAATCAGGTGATGGAGACGTTTCATTTTGTTATATTTATTGTATAATAAAATAATATCGCCAAAAAATGTTGAATTTAATTCAATTTAATATTTAAAGAAAATTATATATTCGTATATTTGTTACATTCTGGCTAGTACAAATAATTTTTTTTATAAAGTACAACCATAATACCAGAATTAGTAATTTTATTGTAAATGATATATTCATTATGTCCAAATCATTTAAGAATCATGTGCATGCATGTATATTATTACATGCATACAAAATTAATAAATAATTAACATCCATTAATACTTTGCTTCAGATTCTATAACTAATAAATGTTGAGTAATACGTATAACAGAATAATTACGCAATGCTATTTGGGTTATAAAGTAATATTTTAAATTTAGTTTCTACAGAGGTATGATTCTTTTCTTTGTTCCAGGGTAATCCCCAAGGAGAGGAATTTTGCTGCGTTATGTGAAAATAACTGTACGAAGTAACATTAAGAATTCTAACAGCACCTTTTAACACGTTGATTGCCACAGTGAAAATTGATGCATGTATTTTGGCCAGACGCATTATAAGTTAAGAACATAGTTAATTCTTCAACTTCATCAAGCAATGTACATTATTATCTCAATATTGAAAGTACTCATATTTTTTTTTTCTCTTAAATGATTTAACTGAATTTGTAGCATCCATCACAGGTAATCACCATGACAGTCAACGTGTAAAAAACACTTGAAAGAGTACAGAAAAGCACTTGAGAATCTCGTTTAGAGATCAAGTCTTCAGAGTTTCATTAACACAAAGAATTCGTATAATGCCTCGAATAATGTTTTGAATGATATATTTTGCTTAAGAAAATAATAAAGAAGAGATTAAAAACAGAATTCACGATGCTATGTCTTAGTATTTTATATTTACAGAGATGCGTACACGTATGAGAAAATATTCTGTAATATGACGTTTAAAATCAAATTTAACAAAGCGTTTCACGATAATCGAAACGCGATCATTGCATTTATACACTTGCACTACGTACAAAACTTCTTTGTCCATTATGTCAAAGTCACTAACTTTAATTGAATAAGGAGCACGAGCGTGACCGAACTACTTCTGGCGTATCATTTGTTTTACCTAGTCGTTATCGTGCCTTTTTAAATGTATAAAAAAATCCTTTTTCTCAGTAGGTAATAGTATTTATGTTTAAGTACAAACCCGGATGAAACAGGAGCGTGACATCCGCATAATCTTTAAATAAATAAATACATTTATTTGATAGCAAAATATTTTCTGATATATACATACGTATTAACGTATTTGAATTTTTGTTAATTACTATGGTAAGGAAAAATAATCTATGTTTAACACAAATATATTTGCTCCGTCATCCGGAACATGATTTTGTTAATTGTATTCGACTTTATACCATTTCTACCAGTAATAAAGATCTCTGATTAACCATGTTTAAGTTGCATTTATTCATAAAATTAATCCCTCTCTGTATAGTTCTATTTTGTGTAGTTAATACGTAATTTGTTTTTGTTTTAAATTCAATGAATTTATCACTGTGAAAGTTACAAATGAGGTATATTATACTACGCATTGTTAAAATTATTGTATGTAGAAATAATTGATTGCATTAAAAGAAGCATGACCAATTATTTACATTTCATCTGTGCAGTGATTAAACTTCACTGGTTAGAGTTCAAAGCAGTTCAATGTTAAAATTATACAAATAGATGGCGATAGCAGTAGCAACTGAAGTTTGAATGTATGTATTTGGAAATGCAGTCACTGTCAGTTTATTGTGGTCTAATATTGAGAAACGTATTTTGTGGTAATAAAAATTCTGTTTGAAGTATAATTCTGTAATTTCTAATTCATATAATTTGGCACGTGGTAATGTTTGTAGAAATGTTTTAAATATTCAAATATTAAGTGCATTTCTCCAACAATTTACTTTGTTAAATAGGTTAAGCTTAAGATTAAAAAATCAGTTTTAATTTATGTTTTAATATATTATAATTTTATGAAACCACGTCAAACTAATTTGTGCAATATTTTTCTTTTGTAATTTAGGAGTTTAAATTATTAATAGAAATTAGTTGCCATGGCAAGTACATCTTCTGATCAAAGCACTATTGCTCAAAAAACATGGGAAATGTCAAATAACGTCGAAACAATTAGTACTGTTGATGAAATTTATAGATATGATCGTAAAGAACAACAAGATATATTGGCGGCTAAACCATGGGAGAAAGAGTATGTTATTCATTTATATATATATACATATGCAATCAAAGTACTTTTTGGTTCTAATATATACATATATGTATATATATGGAATTAAAATAATTTTAAGCATTAACAAAATGTTATGTTTTAGCCCCCACTTTTTCAAAGATATAAAGATCTCTGCATTAGCATTATTAAAAATGGTTATGCATGCTCGTTCTGGTGGTACTTTAGAAGTAATGGGTCTTCTTCTTGGAAAAGTTGCAGCAAATACAATGATTGTAATGGATTCTTTTGCATTGCCTGTAGAAGGCACAGAAACAAGAGTTAATGCTCAAGCACAAGCTTACGAATATATGACAGCATATATAGAAGCTGTTAAAGAGGTATCCTCTTTAAACATTTTCATTTAACTGTTGTATATAATTTATTACTTCATACAATTACACATATATTACACTTATGCAGGTTGGGAGACAAGAAAATGCTATTGGATGGTATCACAGTCATCCTGGCTATGGATGTTGGTTATCAGGCATTGATGTATCTACTCAAATGCTTAATCAAAATTTTCAAGAACCATTTGTTGCTATTGTCATTGATCCTGTAAGAACAATTTCTGCTGGCAAAGTTTGTTTGGGTGCATTCAGAACTTATCCAAAAGTAATGCATGTTTATTGTATTTTATTATTCGTTAAAAATGAAATCAAAAGGAATTCCAAATTTAATGAATTACAAAATACTTACAGGGATATAAACCAGCAAATGAAGAACCATCGGAATATCAGACAATACCATTAAATAAAATCGAAGATTTTGGTGTGCATTGCAAACAATACTATTCTTTAGAAGTATCTTATTTTAAATCATCATTAGATAGAAGATTACTAGATTCTTTATGGAACAAATATTGGGTGAATACTCTCAGTTCTTCGAGCCTTTTAACAAATGCAGATTATACTACTGGACAAATATTCGATTTATCAGACAAGTTAGAACAGTCGGAAGTTGCGCTTGGAAGAGGATTTATTTTAGGTGGAACAGATCCCCATGATCGAAGTACAGTAGAAAAATTAATTAAAGCTACAAGGGACAGTTGCAAAACTACAATTGAAATTATTCACGGTTTAATGGCACAAATAATTAAAGACAGATTATTTAATCAAGTTGGATGTAATCCTGTCGATTCTCAGCAGACAAACTAAGAATATGACCCATAATTATATTATTATAAGGATATTCATTGTAATAATTTGTATTACGTCTAATTAATGTAAAAAAGAAATTATAATTACAATATAATAGTCAAAATATGTCTGTGGTTTTTGTTATGTTCAAGATTTGTGGATATTTAAGAATAGTTTAGGTTGAATTAGAATTTTTTAATATTAAAATTTTAGTTTATTGGGAATTTGGAATTCTGGAACATCGGGAATCTGATAATTCAGACTATTTCTAGATACCTAATTCATATCTTTTCATTATCTATAACTAATTGTGTATATAAAATCAACATAGGTTTCATATTCGTACAGAATTACGATTTACACAGTAACGTAAGTCTTTAAATATTAATGACAGTGTGAGTATTAATACAATATTCTGACAGTGTAGTGGAATAAAAATACATTTTATTTTCACACCTTGATTCTCTGAAACGTATATATACAGCATCTTTATCATTATTCAATATCCTCACAGTTGATTTATATATTTATAAAACTAATATAATATTGAGAACAAGTAGGCAGAGAATACCCCACTGAAGGGCTGACACTGTGTCACAGACTTTAGGACAAGGCCACTCAGAAACACACCCACCTGTTCTAGAATTATATACCTCCCCATTTATAGCGCATAACATATAAGGGACGGAGCTAAAATGCATACAGTTATGCTGATAATATAATTATTGTTAACGATATTTAAGAGAAATTTAGGAAGAAAATAATAAAAGGCAATTTGTTAACTTAATCGTTCCAAATATTACTAGATTTCTGTTATAACACTAAATTTAGTAACTGCGCTTAAAAAACTACATATTCATACAATACTATTACATTAAAGTAAATTAAATATAATTAAGTACAACTGTATATTAACTTCACATAGACATAATCTTGAAAAAGATAAATACTTGCAAGTAGAGACTCTATTGCTACTTTTATGTATTTGATTTTTCACGATCTTTTGCACGATTAAATCACATACTTTTTTCAATCAAAGTATTTCTTGTGTATATGAAAGAAATAATATATATAAAAAGATAAACTTTTTCGTTAGTTAAATTCATTAAATTATAAGAATTAAAATGATTAACTTTTCAAATCTCATTTTAAGTTTCATGTATTTTATTTTTATGATAAAAAGGAATGTAAAAATACTTTATTATAATTTTTCTTTTGAATTAGAACTTTATGTTATGAAATATATTCAAACGTACGTTTTGTTATTCTTAAATTATACGTTACCAAACAACAATTCTATTTTTATACAACGAATAAAAAATTCTTGTCTAAACCTTTGTATATATTTTTCGAATCAATATTCGAATTAAAAATGTTTCTAATAATACGAAAATATAATTAATAGTATATTGCAATATAAAACTGTTTCAATGCCTTGACTAATATTTTAAAAGTATAGTTCTCGATATTTACTTTAGAACAAAATTACAGAGATATGCCATACTTTTAACAGTAATATTTTTGTTTAAATACCTATACCATAATAAAAGTTTCATTTCCGTAATCAAAGAGGAAAAATCGTTTACAGTTTCAAATAATTTGACATACGATCACGAGTGTAAAAAATAATTCGACAATCAGAATTCAGCCCTCCAATGACACTTACAGTACAGTCGCTCTATATGGCAAATTGAGTGGAGTGTAAATTTTGTTTTCCGATTTATGAATTTAAAGATTTCAAATTTACAAATTTTTAAACTTACAAATTTCAAATTTTTGACAACAGAATTCGATAAGCGATTTTTGTATGGAAAGAGTTCCGTTTATATGGTCTACTTTATAATCTTTCTTCTGATACAGTCCTATCCAAGGCCAGATAGCGAGACTTCACTGTATATATTCCAGATACATTCAAAACAGTATAAACACCACCCACAACATAACGTAAATATGGGGTATAGCAAACGTGTACAAGCTACATGTATATGCATTTGTGTATTACCCTTTTTCATTTAAAAAATTCTTACGAAAGAAGCAAGTTTTGTTATTGGTTACTGACATCATAATTGTATGGTAAACACACGCAAAGAACCCCATTTTACGTTCCTCATAACGAGAATTTAATCACTTCTATGTCACTGCAATTATTTAAATATTTACAAGGCAATCGCATTTATTTATTACTTACAAATGTAGTAGAAAAGATCAATTATTACAGCGAAATTTAAGTGCCTGTCGTTGATAAATGGGCAGCAACATTTCTAGTGAAAAACACTTTTTAGTAGCATTCTTTCGAATAGTTTTAGTATTTCCTGTTACGTGCCTCGTTTGTATTTATGTTTGTTTTAAATTATTCTATGCATAAAATTATATACTAAACCAGAAGCTGTAAGATTACAAATTCAACAACTCAAATAACAGTGTTGCATGTAGTATTATTGTTCTATCTTTCTATATTCGATTAGAGAAAATATTTACATGTTTCACAATACATGCAGCATAATACAAGAGAAATTTTACATTCCTTTCTTTCTTTTTTTTTTGTTTTTTCTTGCTTTTTTTTTTGAAATTTAATAATTTTGTACTAATAAGCTTTACTACTTTTGCAAGATTTTAAAATTAGAATCATACCATCTGCTCAATAAGCGCTAATTTAAATCAATTAAGAATGTAATTTTACTATCTGTTGAGTAAGTGAATGAACCTATTTATTTAATTTTTTAAACAGCTTTATAAAATAGCTTATTATGTTATTATTCTTTAATCGTATAAAATGAAAACTTTAGTATATTTTTTACATATGATGTATTTACAAACATTGCACGTATAAATTCAGTTACTGAATGTTCGAATTTTTACAACAATAAAATGTGGCTTGTGAGCAGATGGAAACCGTTGCTTTGTGCTTATTAACAAAAAATTGATTACAAATTTGAATCTTATCAAGTTCATATGACGTTCGATAAATAATAAATTGAATCGATTACGAAATTGTTTTCCTTTTTCAAATATATCCTTTTACCAATATGTGTCACTTTACCCAATGAGAAGATGAAATTGAGTGTCAGTCTATTCAAGACACGATTACTTATTTAAACAGGCATATGTACAATTGTTTTTTTTAATATATCTTGTCACTGTGATGTTACATGAGGAAAATTATTCACTTCTGTTTGTTCCAGAACTGGTCCAGCTGGTCCAGTATAAGATATACGTAATCTCATTCGTAAAGGTACCTTTGTTGAAAAAAAAAAACAAAATAATAAATAACATGAGAAATATAATATTATCACATTTTCCAAAGGTATAATATGACCATAAAACCTTACTTTGTTAATGTTTGTAACTTTTAATACTTGAGTAACTTGCCCAGAAGGAGGAATGACAGTGCTCGATGGAGACAACATTTGTAGCTGGAATGTCTAAAAAATGAAAGAAATATTCTAAATGATTGTTTTCTTTTCATTCAACAGAAAAATAAATTAAACTCTCTTACCTTAGGAACTGCTGCTTGAAACAGGAAATCAGTTAATATAGCACTTCCAGAATTTTGAGCTAACATATTTATAACCAATAAATCGTTAACATCTGCTGATCTTTCCAATCTGAAGGTTATTTTAAGTCCTGCTTTATCCAATACAACCATAACAGGTGCATCTATAATTTCGAAATAAACTTACATTCTCATTATAAAAAATAAAAAGTGAATACTTTATTAATATATACAAACCATTTTGAACAGATTGTGATGAATTAAGTAAACCATCCACTAGGAAGTTAGTTGTGTTAGCAGGGTTAAAAACTTGTGATGTCGTTTGTGTCTGTGGCAGTGTAGATGTGGGTGTAGGTGCATTTAAATCCAAACTACCAAGTAAGTCCAACAAATCGTTATTGTTCACTACAGCTGTTGAATTAGCAGGTGGATTTTTACTCGACGCTGAAGGAGTCATTCCTAAGTCAGAAGTCCCAAGCAAATCTAAAAGTGCACTCTAGAAAATGCAAAAATTTTTATTGTATATAACCTCACTATTATAAATGAAACCAATTATGTAATAAATCAAATCACATCACATGACAGACTTACTGAATCAGATGGTGGAGTGCTGGCTTCTAAAACTGTTGATTTTTCTTCTTCTGGTTCTGGTTCACCATTCACCATTCCAATGATGCCATTAGCTTGTGGCCTTGCAGTTTCCATAGGAGGCATTCTTTCAAGCAATGCGGGTCGTAAATGATCGTATTTTCTAAACAACTGTGAGAATTCAATACCTCGCTGTTGTAGTTCAATATGTAAATTACTGCCAAACGTATCAATTATTTGACGAATTTTTCTGAAATATAAATAATTTTTGTGTGTAATAACTGGACCGGATGGTAAAATACAAAACAGACAATACGTAGTACAGTGTTATTTGGCTATATGATTTCCGTTTAGATGGCTCACTGAATAAGTTCAATGTAAGACATTGAAATTTGTATTTATGTTATATTATACAGCAATACTTACTCATTACCCTTTTGAAATCTTGTGCTGAGTTTAGTGAGAGACAATAACGTATATTGTTTCGTGACAACTGTATTTTGTGGACTCCATAATAACCTTTGATAGACATCAATAACTTCATCTTCCGTTAACTAATAATAATAGCAAAATAAAGGTTAAGTACATAATCATTTCTAGTTTTAATTCAAGTTTTAAGTTACACATACATTAATAGGTGCATCTATATCTTCTGACGGCGGTCCATACAATAACAAATCACCATATTCACCAATACACCATGTTGCTACTTGAGCCAAAGGTTGTTTATCAAACGTATCCTTTTCTAACGCTCTCCACAGTGCGCTAACAGCATAACTTTGCTGCGATTGTGTTTCTGAAATTAACTGAATGGTGCATGCAACTACATCATCCCGAACATAATTACCAGCCTGAAAGTAAATGGAATTATAATTTTAATTTAAAAAATAAAAATCTGAAGAACAATGCAAGTGGAAAATTTCTTACAGCAACCAGAACTTTAAATAATGTTTCGAGATGCCAACGCTTATTAGGTGCAAATCTTTCTGCAGACATCACTATGTTACTACTGCATTGAGCTTTAAATTCTGGATCAGCACGTTCCAAGAAAAGTAACAATTCTTTCATCATATTTCTAATATTGTTTGAATTTACAAGTGCAAAACTAAGTTCCATAGCTCGTCTTCTAATTGATACATCTGGATCTTTTAAACACTCCTAAATAATCAATTAAAATAAAACAGTTTATTTTTGTATGTGTTAAAAAATACATGAACGGAAGAAATTACTAGAACATAAGAAGATTACCAGAATCGTTGAGCGATGTCTTTGCACTGCGCTTGTATCTACATAAACTGTTTTCAATAATGTATTCAGAGCAACATATCGAATATTTTTATCGTTATTTAATAAAAATCGACCTAATATATTCACTGCTAATACTCTAAGTCCACTTTCTGACTTGATATCCATAATAGATAATACAGTTTCATACAGTATTGTGTTTCCAACATTTTTACTAGTTTCTGTATTTGTTGCAACTTGTGCAAGTATATCATTCATTGCTTCAGATGCATCGATATCATTGCGACCCAAAATCCGTAAAAGACGCAATATTTTTACTTGAAGAAAAGGATCAGATACACCAGATACATCATGTTCCGGAGAATACCCAGCCAAGATCAAATTCTTAAGAATCCTTACAAGATTTGGCACAATCTAAAAAAAAAAATAATTTTATCTTCCAAATGTATAAAACGAGAAATATCAAATATAAACACGAAAAATGAATTCATATATTTGAAAATAACTAGAAATTACTTAACAGAAAAGAAACATGACATTAATGATATTGCATTGTTTGTGCAAAAATAATTATACCTTTATATTTATATTATATTTGAATAGAATATAATCTTACATGATTACAGTATTTATACATACATGTACATATAATGTCATGAATAATAATAAACAGAATACTATAGGCCAAAAATTATAATGTCAATGAAATCCAATATTTTGATAAAATAAATAAATTTTAATTTAATTCATTCAAGGATAATACTAAAATGTTAATAAAAAAAGCATGAAGAAATAATAAATTATAGTTTATACTGTACTGCATTGTCAAAATACATGCATATATGTTTGATTGTTACAGATAATAAAAAAAAATATAATCAGGCAACTGATATGGATCTCTGAATATCTGCAATGAAAGAATCGCATAAATTAAAAGAAAAGAATGAAGTCCATAATAAGCTTAACATGCAAAAATACAAAGGATTTTTATACACTTTTTTACCTCTCGATGGCCGCATTCCTAAGAAAGATAAAACCATACTTATATTATAAATATTATGGGCAAAAAATAGGTTACAAAAATCATTAAGATAAAACGTCCTTTTGTTATTTACTTGTATATTATTAATTTTACATAAAATTATAGACTACATTCCTTTCTATGATTGGTTAGAACTTTTGATTAATCTGATAGCAATATATTCCTAGTGCTACGTATTCAATACACTGGTTGGATATTAATGCTACTACTATCTAACTTGCATCTATACACTAGTAGAAATGCTAACATCAAAAAAATTTAAATTATGATTGTAAAAAAATATATATAATTTCTTTTAATGCAAGGACTAAATTTTGTTAGTATTAATTAAGGCAACTAAATATTTTGCTTTTTTCTATATTCCTATTTTCTATTTCCTTAAAACATGTAGAACTTACCTTTTTAAAATGATTCAATGTATCAACACTGTTCTCACACATTTCTGTAATAAGTGTGACACCCGTGATTAACACACCATGATTTTTTTCTGTAATTAAGCTACGAGTAGCAGGAAGAAACATTTCCATCAATTCTGGTACACGTCTAATAATTCTAAATGCGCAAAGTGCTGCTTTCTTTCGAATATATGCATTTGGTGATTTCATCAGCCTTTCAACTTCAGATGCCAAATCTCTTGCCATTTCTGGTGATGCAATTGCACCCAAAGTACACAATGCTAAACCAATAACAAACTGTGTAGAACTATTTAAATCGCTGTAAAAAAAATATTAAGAATCGTTGTATTTACAAATCTTTTCAATAAATAAATATTAATGTAATATTATAAAAACTTCACTTTTTTAAACAATTTGTAATTAAGAGATGAACATCCTGCCGCTCGTCTAAAAGTAACATTGCACCCAAGTAACCAATTCTTTTGTCTGTAAACCTTGGAGATGCAATAAGTTTTAAACATTCCAGTTGGCCAAAATGAGCTGGATATCTATAAACATAATGCACAATTTATTTAAAAAACGAAATAATTGAAAGTATTGTTATATAATAATATAAAATGTAGTAAAAAGTTTTGTCACAAACCCAAGCATGTGAATGTATAAGAGTTTTGCAATATTGCGACATCTCCATACACTATCTTCTTCTCTAAATGTTGAACGAATGTATGCACATTCCTTATTCACAACTGTCCTTTCTTCTGCTGCAGTTCTGGCAGCTCTTATTTGCCTGATGAGGTCTCTCAACCGTGTTGGTGCAGGCATTCTAACTGTTGAAACTTTTAAATTACAAATATGTTATCAATTTTAATGTTAGTAGCGATTGAAGTGTTAAATGATTAAGCTGTGCATGATATAGCAGAAATGAATCTTAACAAATAGCAAGCAATGATATCAGAGGGTTAATAGTTAATTCTAGGCATGAAACATGCCCAGTGGAGACATTAGTATTATGAAGCATATATAACAATGTTCTGCAAATTTGTATGGAATACATGATGTTTATGCAGTTATACATCATTATATTTATGCAGTTAGAATATTAATTACATGATTACATGAAAAAAAAAAGAGTTCTATAAGCATTTTATAGACACAATACAACTGCAAACATATGATAACAAATAAGAATCAATAAATTGTATTATGTAAATATTAAACTTACCTCTTTCTACTGCCTCATTAAACACTTGCTTTATGGAGGCCATATTAAAGGCTGGGTTAAACCTGGAATATACACACCCATGCTATTTTATATGCACAAATCATTTACATACCATTTTTGGCTGTGCAATGACACCCATGATTTGATCTCATTAGTTATTTATTTTAAGTAAGTAATGTTTGCATAAACAATTCTCTAAATAAAGTCTGTTACTATTATAATAACAAATTGTTGGTCAAATAGAATTTAAGAGAGGCAATTTTTAGATTGTATTATAATTAATATCACATTAGGTAAACATATCAAAGGTTTCATCAAATTGACTTATTTGACAAGCTTAAAAACTATGTATTACCCGTGTTCTGAAGCATTCATGGTTCTCGGCAATGTTTTCAAAGGTATATGATGAACTTCAATAATGTAAATGAAGTATAGACGAGCACACAACAAGAACCGTTTTCTTCCTATTGGGGAAAGGCCAAGTGATATTATGAAGTATTATAAGTTATTTGTAAACATTTCATAAAATAGCTTTAGTAACACAAAATAAATAAAACATTGTTAGTATTCTCTCACTTAACGAAGAATTTTATAGATCATTATTACGAAACCATAACATAGTACTTGGGAAACCAGGATAAACATATTTCTTGTTCTAAATCTATAATACTTCTTTGTGGAGTTTTATAAGTATTAAATGTTAAATCAAATAAATTGATACATAAAATTTATTTAAATTTCATTCTGTTTTTCTCACTTTAATCCTGAGTTCATGAAACAGTTGTTACTATGTGAAAATAAACTTAATTTAACGTATTTTCATATCATTTAAATGGAGTACAATTATACAAATAAGAAATTGCTTATATGACTTTAAAAATTATAGTTGTACATAGAAGAGTCAAAAATATCGTATAGAAAGTATATATAATTTATTTCATGAGCAAACAATTTCAAAAGTAATAGTAATTTCATATCTTTGTATACTTTGTACATAATTAATAACTGTTATTTAATGATACTGATAAATCTATATAAAATAATATTTTTCTTTGCCTTATCATTTCGCTTTGTCCTGGTTTCTCTTATAATGTTTTTATATAAATTAATGATATTATAGTTTATTCTCTTTCAAATTATAGTTTCGTAATTATAAAGAATTGAAACATAAGCAGTATTATTAACAAGTATTGTTTATATCAACATTAAATATATATCTATACATATATATATACATGTATACATGAGTTTCAATACATTAATAAGAAATTCATAACACTGTGATATTAAAACTTCACTGCTATGTACAAAAATTAAAAAGATAGATACTACAGCATCTTCGTTAAGTAGAGAACATAAAGTATTGAATTGGTATACATGAAATGCCAATCTTCTAAACTTCTTATTTTATATAGTAAATTTAGACAATAAATAACGAGTGATATTCAAATTATCTCTATTGTAAAATATAACCTTGGTAATGAATCATAGAAAAACTATGTAAACATAAATATGGTTAAACATTATTCTGCAAAATTGAATAGCAGACATTCATTAAAAAATGTACCAAGAGATGTACAACAATATAATAATAAAAATGTCGGAAAAAATTAAATTATATAGAAATTATTTTCTTGAAATCTATCTCGTTTTAAAAGAAAAAACCTACATATTTTTAGAGTTTTAATTTCAGAAACGACATTTCACATGCACCAACTCAATGTTGTTCTTTTTTTTAACACGTTACAGAACGTGCACCGTATATAAAATAACCGGTTTCGCTGACGAAATCTAAGTAGTCGATCAGAAGAGTGCAATGCATGCAATGGATATTACCTAGTTTTTGAATGTCATTCGACCAGAAATTCACGTGCTATAAAAACGCGTCGCGGTCGCACGTTCGCACAAGTCGACAGCATATTGTAAAATGTGTAAACCGGTTATATAAAAGATCGTTCGCACTGAAGGGCATCGAACCAAGGGTTAGTTTTCTAGCTGTCAAACAGTACCAGTCAAAGGATGTCGTTTTCAGGTAACCCGAGTCCGGAAATTGAGCGACGTTTAGCGACGAATCGTAAGAAGACGGCACGAAGGCGCGTCGTATGTGTACCGTCGTCGTGTCGCCCACCTTTTACACGCAAGTCGTACAACAAATACGGCGACAAATGCCTCGCCTCCCAGGGCGCGCGAGTTGGGCGCCCTCACTCACTTTTGCATAGTCTGTCGTGCACCTGGCATATCGGCCTGTATCGGTTTGTATATACGTTGTTGCATTCCAGATATTTTCTTCTAACTTGACTTTCTACTATTAACGATACGTACCGTACGAAACTTTGATTCACGAACAGGGAGGGGTTAATCAACTGCGAAAAAAAATTATGGACATAGTTAAACGTCCACAGTTGTCTACCCTATCCCACGACAGACAGACACTGTCCGACGATAATGTCCAGCGGCATTCGCGCATCAGAAACCAAAATGGCTGCCTATTGTCACTGACGTTGTTCCTTGATAATACTGTGATTTTTCGTTTAACGTGTCATAATCATTTACTATATCATATATATATGTCCTATACTCGAAACATCGAATGAACAGGTGTAATGAATATTCTTTTCCATAATTTGAGTTACTTCATTCATTTATAATCTTCATTTCCAGTTTCTTATTTATACTGTTGCTCAACGTAGTGAGTAACAACGATGCTTGTTTCTAAAGCGCGAAATTCGTAATGTTTTATAAAATAAATATCTAATGAATTATTTTTTTATGCTACTTCGATAAGATAATTGATTTTTGTGTTATTTCTAAGAATACACAAATGTTTTCTTACAAAGTAGCACGAAAATATATATTGAAATGTCATTTAATCCGAGTGTCATTGCACAATTGTTAAAAATAATAAGAATGCAACATACATATAGGTATAATATGATAGTACGTATCATACAAATATACTTTATCGATTGATTGATATCACATGTTTATTTTATCAATTTTCGAAACCGCATTGTAAAATATATTAACACAAAAAATTATTTTCAAAAATATTGTAGTACCAAAAATAAGTGATATTTTTCGAAAAATTATCATGTTAATAATATATTTTATATATCTTTAATGTTATTCATATACTTTTTATAGACATTTATTCTTAATTATTTTTAGTTAATAAGTATTTATATATAATCATATTATATAGTTCATATCTATATTGATATTACTCTTGTGTCAAGAATTAGAAATAGTAAAATTATCACCTTCTGTTTAATTCTGGTGGTAGAACACTCCAATCTTCAGATTCATAATAAGGCCACATAATGTATTTTAAAATTAGATCAATATAATTTGGATAGAAGATTTAACACAAAAATTATAAAGCATGTATTATTCACTTTAGTCAATGATACAACTGTGCCACCAGTTTTGTACACTTTTTATCACCAACATAACAGAATAGAAGGTAGTGTGTTGGCATTATCTCTTATCTCAGGTACTACCTTGATAGCCAAGGCAGACAAGCTGTATTCCTAAAATAATTAAAAGCATTATAAATTATATTAAATCAAGCTGGAACAAGAAATCAGTCTAATTTATTAATAACTAAGATACAAAAAATATGAATTTCAAACCATTTTATTGCTATAATTATTTTGTATCACGCACTAACCATTTAATTATTATTATTAATTAACTAATATTAATGAATGTATTATAATAAAACTCAATTTGCAGAAAACATAAAAATTATTAATATTTTTGCATCACTGAGGAAAGGAATTAGTGTTAATAAATAATTTAACTGATTTAAATTAAAAAATCAAAGTTTATTAGTATAAATTGTTTCTAATAGATATACTGAACTTGTTACATTAAAATATTGTTTATAAATTAATCTATATGTTATAACAAAACAGGAATGTAATATTAGGATAGGCAATTATCATTTTGATTACGAGGTGGTCGAACATCACTGTTTCTCTTGACACAATCCACAAGCCAATGTATGCCTTCATCTACGCCGTCCCTTTGGTATCACATAAATAATTATTTAGTAACAAATATCAAAAACTTATAATATAAATATAAATAACATAATTTAATAAATAAATAAAAGTACAATGCTGATTTTGTTTGTATTGCTTTTGATTGGAACTATGTATATAAGACTGGTGACACTGCAAATGGCTTAAACGGATCTGATTCAAATATCAATGATATAAATACCTACCCATTCAAAGCTGAAACAGGCATTACCATGCAATCTCTTCGTCCAATTAAATGTGCATTTTGATTAAAAATAGGTTTTACTTCTCTAACACCCATACAATCAGGCACATCTTGCTTATTTGCTAGGACTAAAAGAGGTACACCTATTAAATGTTCTGATGATATAACTCTGTCTGAAAGAAAAAAGATATTCTTATAATGTAATATATATAATACTATATTTAGTGTGGTATACTTTACCAAATGTTTCTTTAGATTCAGGTATTTTTTCACGATCTGATGAGTCAACTATGTAAATTACAGCATGTGATTCTGCATAATACTGTAAACGTAAAATATAATTTCTTTATATATCTCTCCTATATCTATAACAGTTTACTATTATTTACTTTATCCCACAATGATCGAAGTTCTTCTTGACCACCTAGATCCCAGAAGTTAAAGCGAACACCAGCAATATCAATTTTTCCAATATTTAAGCCAACAGTTGTTGTAATTTTGCTAGGATTCATACCTTTGTAGTTCTTTGTAAATTTTGTTTTTGCTGCCTCTAAATAGGTCTATAATATAACAATTATTCTAAACAAATTTATCTTTACATACTTAACCTTAATTACATGGGTATTTAAATTTTTTACCGTTTTTCCCGCATTGTCCAATCCTAATATCAATATAAAATATTCATCTTTTTGCACAAGATACTTGTACAAACCATGTAAAAGTGTGTACATTTCAAAATGTTTAAGTATTCTGAAATTTACGTTTCATATTGTGTACATATTATGGTAAGTTTACACGAAAATGTGTACTGAACCGTAGTACAAGTGCTTTTGGTTTATAATTTTCAACGACGTTTTTCTATATTTCCTACATCTAGTAACAATCATTTCCCCAAAACAGTTATAAATATAACAAAATAGTATAAGATCCTAAAATGAAGTGGAAGTCATTCAGTTACTCGTATTTGCATTTTGGAATACGAGATTTAATAATGTCCCACATATAATCTCATAGCAACGTCGATTTTACCCACATTTACTCCCTGATCAACCTCAATCTACTGTTTACAATTGTACAGCGCAAAGTATTTCATTTTCATAGTACGTAGAGCAGATGACGCTCGTTCCCGAAACATAATATTATATCTGTAGCCAATGATTGAACCAATATGTATACTCCATTCAACAGAAAACCATACCTCTTTCGCGCAACTCTGCTAATTTCAGTAAGCTCGCTTGCACTTAAAGTTCTGTCACTGTCATCACAGTATATATGCTGTCATCCGCTTTTGAATCCGTTAGTCATATCCATGGTGGAAAAAAATGTGTGAATAAGAAAAGGAATTAATGATATAGGAAGTATACAAAATAAAAAATCACTGGGTAGAGACAACATGCGCAGAACAAACGCAAACTGAGCGACATGTTCTCTCGTTGAATGAGTTATAGTCCCCGCTTTTTATTGGAATGCGACATTCTATAGTGTGCAACACGTGGTTCAATTTTCGTGCGCTTAATGTGAATTAACTTTATTTTGAAAAAGTGATATCTGTTTACATATTTTCACCGGCATAATTATGACGACTAAAACAGGATTAAAACGTAAAAAAGTAGAAAATGCAAATGAAAACAATGTACCAGAAGCAGAAGTTCTACCTGCTAAAAGAATGTCAAATGAACCACCACCAAAGAAGGTATACAAATTTTGCATTATTTTAATGAGACAGTGTTTAACAAATACTATTAAATGTTTTTAATTAAGAAAGAAACAAGATATTATTAAATTATTTATGACGATTATATCAAAGTCTTATTTGATTGTTTAGGTAAAATGGATTAATAAACAGAGAGTATTAGTTTTTGCTACTAGAGGAATTGGTTATAGACATCGTCATCTTATGGATAATTTAAAAACACTTATGCCTCATCATCGAACTGAATCTAAAATGGAACATACAAAAAATTTACAAGTAGTAAATGAAATGTGTGAAATGAAAAATTGTAATAAAACAATATTATTTGAGGGTAGAAGAAAAAGAGATTTATATTTATGGTTTTCGAATGTTCCTGTAGGACCTTGTGCAAAATTTCTTGTTGAAAATAGTATGTATTATATTTTTGTAGTATGTATTAAATTTATTCATACATTTAATGACTTCTTTATTATTATAGTCTACACAATGGAAGAATTAAAGATGAGTGGAAACTGTTTAAAAGGATCTCGTCCTTTATTATCATTTGACGAAAACTTTAATACAAAACCACACTATAGTCTTTTAAAAGAATTGTTTGTTCAGATATTTGGTGTACCTAATCAACATCCTAAAAGTCAACCATTTTTTGATCATGTATATACATTCAGTATATTGGATAATAGAATATGGTTTAGAAATTTTCAAATTTTGACTGAAGATGGTGGTTTAGCTGAGATAGGTCCAAGATTTGTATTGAATCCGATAAAAATATTCGCTGATAGTTTTGGTGGAGAAGTACTTTGGGATAATCCAACTTATATTTCTCCTGCTAAGGTATGATTAAATTTTTATTTCAATATTATCAATACTAGAATTAAAAATTCTGCATATAAATATGTTCTTAAAGTCATAGATATAATATGAAATTATATAGATATAATTTTTTAAATTACAGTTTCGGCAAGTTTTAAAAAAGAAAGATTCAAGTAAATATGTAAACAAGCTAGAACAAAAAACAGCAAAAGAAGTTAATAAACCAAATGAATCTTATTCGTTAAATCCTATGGATGAGATATTTAAAGATGACCCGCTAGAAAAAGCATTGGAACTACAAGAAAAAGAAACAGAAGTATCAAAGAGTACTAGTGAAATGAAGAGAGTAAAGAAAGTGAAGAAACATTCTAAAAAGTATTCAGGAATTAAAAGTAAAATAACTAATTCCAGAAAGAGAATCAAAAAACAAAAAATTTAATATTATGTTTAAAATTTTCCAACTTTTTGTGAACAGTAAATGTTTATTTAAACAGTAAATGTCATTACAATACATGTAATATTACAAATAAAACAATACTCGTGAAGTTAATAGTTCATGCTGCATACACTTATGATTGTACATTTCATATATAGAAGAAAGTATTAAAAGGAAAAAATATCTACTTTACATTATACAAAAAGCAATTAAGTACTTTTTAGATTTTTTTTTATAAAAATATATAGGTATATCTAAAATTAAAAATATACATGAATTAATCTTGTCTTTTGTACATATTGGAATTTTATCAAATAAGTCGTTGTTCAAGTGCACTTATGAAATACAAATTATTATATCTTATAAAATAAAATACTTTCAATCGTTGTGCTACATTTATTAGAATATAAAATTTAATAGTTCTCTATAACTGAATTAATGATTATAGTAGAAAAATTTTATATAATAGTAATTTAATATTTTCCAAATAATTTAAAAAAAAATTAAATAATATTAAACTATAATATGGTACATCGTTATAGTTACTTTTGTACATATTCTAAAATTATGCTCAATAGATAAAATTTAATAAAAAATTAAAATTGCAGTTATTATTTTGTAATAAAAATAGAAATAGAAAATGCTTTATATGAACATATGGCAGTAATGTTTAGATCCTACAGAGTATATAAAGTTTGTAAATAATATAGATTTAAAATACTAACTGAGCACGATTTGTGATTTGAAAAAGTAATATACTAAAGCTGTGTAAAAATGTGTATAAAAAATATACAAACGTTGGAAGAGAAATCAGTGTTCTGATATTGTACTTATGTATTCATTGGTGTTAATTCATGCGCTTGTTGACCATTCACATTATTACTAGATCCAATTTGTGCTAATGCTGATTGACGCCACTTTCCATTTTCGCCATTTAATTGTTTGTCTTCACAAATGCAAAGAAACAAGGTATCAATCACAGTCTAAAATTAAATACAGAGATAAGTAAATAACATACATAATTTATGTAAATAAAAAAAAGATACAATATGTACCTCATAAAGAGAAATAATACTGTGAGCAATGAAAAATGCAAAAACACAAGTGACAAAAATTGGAGCTGCATAAAAATATAATCTAGGATCTTGTTTCATAAATAGCAATCCAATACTACCAGTTGCAGCTGTAACAAAGCATTTACCCAAAAACAGAATAAAATCTCCTACTCCATTAATCACTGCTATTTGTAAAGCATTACTAACAAGTGTGGTGAATGCCTAAAATAACAATGAATACAGTACTTTTTTCATGACAAATTTCATAAATTTAAATAATATTTTTAGAGATATATAATTATACAACATACAATTTTAGCTGCATTACAAAAATGCGTTCCTTCAATGGCAACAACAGTATATGCATTGTGATTCATATATCTAATAAATTTTTCTAAACAATAGAAACAACATATGCAACATTTTAATCCACACTGTGCACATGGAGAAGTTTCTTTGTTTTTCTCAAATCTACGAAATGTACATGTATATATTATGAATTAAATTAAAAATTTTATTATATGTATATGTATAGTTGTGTATGTGTAACAGGTGTTTAAAAAGATTGTACATTCTGAAAATGGTAGATTTCTCATGCTAAAACTTAATGAAAAATTATTTAGTCACTTGCCTATTTGACAACTTGATTTTTGCTTTAGCACAAAAAATCTCTGATTTTAAGACAGCACAACCTTTTTAGGACATCCTGCCTATATTAATATTATACATACTTAGCATGAAGGTATGTCAAAATTAAACGGGGCAATTTAAAAAGTGTTATTAAAAATGAGCCACAAGCAACAGAACCTAAATGATAACTAACTAAATTTCCTATAGCAGAGCATACTGGGGCGGCACTAGCATCTTTTCCTCTGAAATAGGAAACATTATATGCTATACAAATGTACTTAAACATACTATTCTATTTATACATCTAAAAACTATCTTAATACCTAAAATACCAATGAGCAACAGCACCTGATATCACCATATCCTGACAAGAAATAATAAATTCTGAAGTCCATATTAATCCTATAATATATACCCACCACATGTATTTCACCCAAGTTGGATCTACATACTCTACAAGAGTAAAAGCTGAAATATTTGAACTGTAGTAACAACTATTAAATTATAACAAGTGTTAAAGTATGAAAAAGAAGAAAATGATAAATATATTACTTTTAAAAGAATAAAGTGAAAAATCAAATTTCTTTTCTTCAACAAATGCATTCTTTTCTCCAATTGAGCTCAAATTTAAAGGATCGAATATATGGTTTTTATACATTTGTACAGATTTTGTTCCAGGATAATCTGCAATTTGTAATTATATGTGTGTAATTATTATTACTTCTATTCTAACATTAAACAAAATGATTTTAGCACTTACTAGCTGTTGCAAGACAAAGGATTACAGTAACCCAAAAGGCAAAAAATAATATTAAAGCTGAAAATGTCAATAAAGGCTGAAAGAATAGACCCGGTAATTCTGCTAAACATTTTGCACTTTCTCTGAATAATGCTGCCATAAATGCAATGCGTTTACGCAGTATAGTTAATAAGAACAATAAAATGACCTGTATAATAAGTAAATATTTATCAAACAAAAATTTGTATGCATAATAAAATTAATGATAAATCATTAATTACTTACAGTTATTATTGTTGCTATAATAGAAAATGCTAAAAATGCTCTTTCATTTCTAACAGATTCCTCTAGAAGCTGATTTGGATCAGTTTTATCTAAAGTTCTTTTAATTTCTATGTAGGTCCACCATAAAAGTACAGTACCAACTGTAAAATGTAATATAAATCATATTTTACTTAACCACCGCTCATATTGTTTTATGTATTATAAAATATTTATAATAAATTTTAATTTTTTCAAATTATTAATCTAAATCAGTATTTCAGTCAATACCATCAGTTTTATTACATGTAGGAAAATACTTTTATTTCATACTTCAGTAACTGATTAGTAATATGGGTAATGTGGATGTTTAAAAAGTCATTATGAAACTACTTTTCAAAAGGGGTTTTCTGTCTTGCAAAGTTACTATAATCTCTTCTTCTAATTTTACCTGAATAAGACAATTGCCAGTGAACATTATTGCATAATATTATATACTACATTCTACAAATATAAAACATGAAATAATTTCAATCTTCCCGCTTATTCAAAAACTTACCTATAGTTGCTACAGTAACAAGAATCATTATAATCCATGTTACTATACTTGCCAATAAGTGAAATATAGCAATCATAAAAAGTGATAAAACTGAAACGAAATGTATACAAATTTTTTATTTTTTTATTTCATTAAGTAATGCTGAAAAAGATTGAAATAATAATAAGAGGATATACCAAATGCTAGGAATGACAGAGATAAAATTTCTCTCCATGTTTTATACAAGTCTCCTAAAATCTGTTCAATAACATCCCATGAATTAATTAGTCCGTATAAGTTTGAAACTATAGTTTCTCCTACATCTTTAATAGCTTTAGGAATGCAACGATTCAGAACCGGTATACTCTTGTACACTGGCAATTCAGGACAAGATCCTGTTTTGTTTCTTCTGTTTTCATTGCTACAAGCACTAAAGTCATTTCCAGGTTTATCATGACAAAGTTGTGATCCTGTTTCTTCATAAAATTTACATATTTCATTCATTGTTGTTATAGTTCTGTCCGGACACTTCTTTACACAAATTTTCAAAGACTGCGTAACATTATTTATATCCAAAAAAAATAAATACCTACAATCATAAAGTTGTTAAAAGCTTTCAATATACTTATTAAAAAATATGTAATAGATAGTTGTAATTATACTAACGGTTTATCTTTAGTATCTTGTCCAGAAAGTTCCATACTACCAAATTTTGGATTATTCTTCATTCCACATGTATTTCCAAAACTATCATATCCATTTATAAGTCTTAAAGGATTACCATAAACTAAAGCAAAGGCTGCTATTAAAATCTGTAAGACAAAATATCATTTAAGAATACCAATAATTTATTGTACAACCACACATCTCAATGTGTAATAAGTAATTTATTACCCATTTATAACAAATATGTTTAATTTAATAAAAAAGTATACAAATTTTAAATATGTACTTTATGTACAAAAAAAAATTGTCAATCAATATTTATGTATAGCTCTCTAGTGTAATCAAAGATAAAACATTAAGTTAAACTTGTTATATAAATATTTGACTAAAACAAAATAATTTTAATTAAACAAAAATGATGACAAGTGGTCATTCTAAATTAATGACATTAAATATGAAATTAATGCATAAAACTATACACACCATAAGAAACCAAAATACAATAAAAGAACAGAGCCAGAAAATATCTGTACATCTTCGCACACGTGTTGGGTCTGGTCGTTGTTCATCATCATCATCTCCTGAACAACAAGACATTTTATACAAATTTTATAATTATCAAAACAAAGCGCTGTATTGCGCTAAAAATCACTGAGCTGCCTTCGATTATTCAAAAACTAAAGACCCTCCAAACAGAGTCTCGAAGTAGTCAACAAGGTTAGGTCAATTCCACCATTTTTCAGTGAAATTCATAGCGCGAAATTTAATTTATAGAGAATTGTATACTTGCGCTGAAAAATATAAACATCATAAATGATACATTTTATTAAATTTTTGTATATAATATGTGTTACCGTTGTATTTTTTTTTACAAAGTTCCGCATTTTATTCTAAGATTTGTAAATCTTCTAGATTTAGATACGTGTAGAACTTGTAATATGTGCTTACTTAATCCAAACATTTTCGTAAAAGAAAGTATGGTTCAAAAGAAATTATAATTTAATTCGTAGCTATTAGCTCGATATCGTTTTCTAAAGTTCACTTGTAGGAAAACGTTTAAAAAACGATACCGATTACCAGGTCACACCACTTGGAGGTTGCTACGAGAGTGACCCACCCTAACTCCAAATCCCTACCACCCTCCAATTGCAACCTCATTTATCAGAAGGATAAATGAGTTTTGACTCTACTTAGCTCATAGGCTCGCATATACAAGTTCTTTACCACAATCCAGCAAAGAACTTATATCACACATACACACACACATACATTAACTTAATACTAATTGCATCTGCCACGTGTTCACAGCGCTATGAACCCCCAATGATCCACTTGGGTTCGGAACGATTGACAAAAAATAACCGAGTATATTACAATCTAACGCGTACAAAGCTTGAGAATTCAGAAGATGCAAGAGTGCAAGTTAGAATAAGAGGCACTTACAGGGACCCACCCTCCCTCCCACGAGCATACATAACTTAGAACTAACGCACATATAAAATTAACTTAAAACTAACGCATATATCCCTCGATGATTCCTCCATGATCCCTCGATGATCGATGTCTTCAATCTTCGCATATACGCCATTCATACATGCACTCACTCATACTACAATGTTTTACAATAGACGCAACTTAAAATTAACTTAAAATTAGCGCATTAGTTGATGAAATCCCACGAAGGAAGTCTTCAATAATGACTCATTCATCACCTATAGAATAATTAGGTATAGGAATAAAAGGAGGAGAGGGAGAAGCGAATGCAAGATTCGTAGCATTAAAACGTTTGAGCATGCATAATTCATGCTAACATTCAAATGCATATTAACATTGTTGGAATAAAAGAGAAATAAAATTCGAGTCGACTCGATAAAAATACGCATATCAAATAAACAATAGGCTTAAAAAATATTCAATTACTTAATAAAAATAAAATCCTGAAACATCTAAAGGCAATTAAGACAAACATGAATCCTTAAAATAAAAACCTGAAACATACGAAAATGATTAAGACAAATATGAAACAATAAATAACTTACTTGAAATTAAAACCTGAAACATAGAAAAGTAATTTAGAATATGTACTATTAAAAATTACTTACATGAAATTAAAACCTGAAACAGACAAAACCTCGAGGGAAACATGCAAATTAAATAACTAATACATGCAAATGACTAATACATGCAAATAACTAATAATAAATAATACTCTTAAAATTAAGACAAATATGAAACATTAAAAATTACTTACATAAAATTAAAACCTGGAAGATACAAAAATGATTAAGACAAATATAAATCATTAAAAATTACTTACATAAAAGTAAAACCTGAAACAGACGAAAAGTAATTAAGACAAATAT